GCTGCAGGGCAGCGCTCCACAACCTCCTGGATACGGCGGAGTACGAGGGCCATGGCTAGCTCCTGCCACATGGCCAGTCCACATGCCTCCCCTGCTCCTCCGTCTTTTTGATGAGGTCCTTTCCATGGCTTCCCTCACACAGCTCTCCACTGGTAACCTGCTGTAGCTATGGATGCCCCTGCCATGGTCAAGGTGCGAGGCAATGCGATAGAATGGGCAGAAGGCTAGCCTGCGAGTCAGGGCCATATTCCTTCTCGATTCCTTTGTGTCTTGATCCAGGACCACAACAGGCAACTGGTTCCCTCCCCATGTTTACTTGGCCTCCACAGCTTCATACCCTCGCATTCTCCTGGCAGTCCACCTTCCTCCCACCCTCGGTGGGTAATGGACCCATGGAAGTCCATGAGTCACAAAGCCACGGGACGGTGGTCTCTGGACTGCAGCAAAGGGGAAGTGTGTTCCAGTGATGTTAGTGCCTGGACAAAGCCCCAGCTACCCAACCCTTGCTAAAGCCCTGAGTATTTTAGATACACATTGACTCATCTCCTTTTCCAATGACCCATTTCCAGGATGAAATTTTCCATGTGGGTTCCCCTGCACAATCCTCTCAGATAAGGTACTACATCCTACTCACATCTATACTCGTCATTTTAAGTGTTTCGAAATAGTTGCTGGCCTAGTTCAATCCATGAAGCAGATTAAGTGCCTAACACAGGCAAGGAATCCTGGGAGTGCAATGATAAAATGGAAAAGTCCCTGCCCTCACAAAGCTTCCTTTTGCTGGAGGCAGAAGGTGGAGAGAACGAGAACGGATATAGAGCAGCATGGGAGAATGTTGCTATTAAGAAAGGGTTTTACAGAGGATAAACGAGAGGAAGTAGAGGAAATAACGTGGACCGTAGAATCAGAAGACCTGGTTTTGACATCCACAGGACCATGGACAAGGCACTGAACCTTTCCCAGCCTCAGTTTGCTCGTCCATAAAATGAGACCCTGTCAGATGTCCCCTAAGGTCCCTTCTGATTCTAAATCTACAATTTAAAAAAGAATAAAGAGACAATTAACACATCCATCCAGTACCATCTCAAAGCTCCAATGGAAGTGACTTTATGTTGACGTGTCATTGTCCTAACTATGCGTTGAGTAAGAAACTGAAAGCATGAGCACACGGGAAGGTTATGAGGAGGGAGGAAGGGGATGAGGTCTTCTGATAACACGACCTGCATTCGAGTGATAACAGGAAAGATGAAGGGAGCGAGATAACCCAGAGTCCAGAAGAGCTAGAGATAGACAGCGGGGAAGTGGGGGCGAGGCCCATCTGGACAGAAGCTCTGGCTTCACAGGCCACTAAATGAGCAATTGCTGGATGCCATCTTTTTTTAATTAAAAAAGAAGAAAACGCTTTAAACTTAATAACTGGAGATGAAACAAACAAAATGAGGAATCAAATCATAAGTAAAAATTAGAAATAATACTACTATGCCTTTGAACAAAGTAGAATCAAAGAAATCAACCAACAAAAAATGTTTCCTCTGAGCCCCTTACAGTCCTAAAATCCTACTGTGCACATGTATGTATACACATAATGCACCTATTTATAAAACTGTAACATACACACACATACATGTATGCACAGTGAGTCACAAAACGATATGTACACATACACTATAGATATATACTTGTAATCTAGTTCTGTTGATGTCAATTTGGCACGGTGGTGAAAAGAACACTAGCTCTGCGCTCAGATGTTTTTGTTCAATCACTCCAGATGTGTCTGACTCTTTTTTTGGGGGGGGGGAGGGTTGTTGGCAGAGATACTGGGGTGGTTTGCCTTTCCTTCTCCGGCTCATTTTACAGATGAGGAAACTGAGGCAAAGAGGGCTAAGTGACTTGCCCAGGGTCAGACAGCTAGTAAGTATCTGAGGGCAGATGTGGACTCAGGTCTTCCGGACTCCAGGCCAAGCACTCTATACCACCTAGCTGCCCTGTAGTCAGAGGAACTGGGTACAAATTGAGCCTGTGACACTAACTACTGGCATAACCTTGGGCTTCAGGGTCCTCACTAGCAGTTTTTGAAAGAGGAAATTCTCTCCTTTTCCCAACCCATCCTCCACACAGCTGCCCATTTCACACCATATTCCAAGAGAAGCTCCAAATGGATATATGATTTAGTCATAAAAGGGGACACCAAAAACAAATTAGGGGAGGATGACCATTCATTTATATGGATAGGAAAAGAGTCAAATAAGAAATACAGCTTAGAGAGGCTCACACAAAATAAAACGGACAGCTTTGACTACATAAAATTTAAGTGATTTTGCACAATCAAACCCAAGGCAGCTAAAATTAGAAGGGAAACCGATAACCGGGAAGTGGCGGAGGGAATCTTGTAACCTGAATTTCCCCGAGAAATGTCTCATTTCTAAGATATGTAAGAAGTGAATTCAAATTCATAATAATAAAAGCCATTCCCCAAATAATGAATGGTCAAAGCATATGATTATGTAGTTTACTAAGGAAGAAACCCAAGCTATCGAATCACATGAAAAAATGCTCCACATACCGTGATCTAGTGGAAAACGCAAAGGACTCAAGTCAAAATACAGAATTTGATTCTTGGTTCAGACGCTAAGCAGTTGCATGACTCTGGGCAAGTCATTTCGCTGAAGACTTGGTTTCCTTCTCTACAAAATGGAGATGATAATACCTACATCCCCTACTTTACAAGGTTGTGAAAAAAGTACTTTGTAAATCTAAGAGCACCAGATGGATGGAAACTGCTAACAGGCCCTCAATTCAGAATGAAAGAGCTGACTTTCGTCCCAAGAGGACGGAACTGAGAGTATTCTACAGAAAGGCAGATTTTGTCGTTCAGTCGTTTCTCAGTAGTGTCCGACTCTTTGTGACCCCATTTGGGGTTTTCTTAAGATATTGGAGTGGTTTGCCATTTCCTTCTCCAGCTCATTTTACAGATGAGGAAACTGAGGTTAACAGGGTTAGCTGACTTGCCCAGGGTCACACAGCTAGTGCCTGCGGCCACGTTTGAATTCAGGTCTTCCTGACCCTAGGACCAGCTCTCTGTGCACTCTGGCGCCACCTAGCTGACCCTGGTGCTAACTCACTCCATCAAAATTAAGAGTTTATAGTAGAATCAGCCCCTGTTTAAGCTTCCGTTGGTTTATCTAAAACAGAGCATCAGAGGACATAAGGAGTGGAAGAGACTCAGAAATCACTTAGTCCAGGGGTCTCATTTCTCAGGCGAGGAAACTGAGGCTCACAAAACCCTAAGTGCTCTGGCAAATGAGGGAATGTGTTTTGCTTGACCTTACATGTCTGTAACAGGTTTTGTTTTCCTTGCTTTCTCAATGGAGGCAAGGAGGAGGTGGGAGAAGGAGAATTTGGAGCTACAAATAAAATCAAACTGAATTAACAAACAAATAAAGCCCGAGTGTCTGTAAGCTCTAGAGTGACTGGGAGGTTGGTGGGGCCCTTGACAGTGATGATGAAGTCCTGAAGGAAGGAGCGTTTGGGAGAAAGATCGTCTTATTTTGGATATGCTGAGTTTGAGGCGCTGACAGGAAGGCGTCTAGTGGGAGATATCCAATAAGCCGCTGGAGGTGAGAGACCTAAGGTCAGGGAAGAGGTTAGGGCTGGATAAATGTGAGAATTCTCTGCAGAGATCATCACTGAACCTACAGGACAGAGATCTCCAACGGGGATAGTATAGAGGGAAATGAGGGCCCAGGACAGCCTTGACACCCGCAGTAAGAGTTTTGCCCGGGATGGATATCCAGCAAAAGAGTTTGAGGAGTGACCAGAGAGGTAAGAAGAGAACCAGGACAGCAATGTCAAGAAAACCGAAAGGGGAGAGGACCCGGGGGAGATGGAGGTCAACAGTACAAAAAAGAACGAGCACTGAAAAAAGGCCATTCGATCTGGTAATTAAGAGAGGGCGGCTTCAGTGTAAGGCAAACTGGAAAGGAAGGGGTGCAGAAAGGTAAAGAGGAGGCACCAAACGGAGGAGTCTTTCTCAAGTGCAGCCAAAAAGAGGAAGAGAGATTCAGGGCCACAGTTAGCAGGGACGGCTGGACCAAGTCCCAGACAGACCCATGGGGAACTCCACTAGTCACACAGCCCCCCTCCAACATCTACAGACCACGAGGATCACTGTTCCCAATTTGAAGAAGGCACGTCTTAAAGAGAAAACATCCAATTTCCCTAAGTCCGCAGGACCAATACTGAGCGAGCCGCACCTTTCTCTCCAGTCTTCCATCAGAAGGTAACTGTTGGCTGTGCAGCACTCGCTCTACTGAGGAAGCCCACAATCTCACATGCAGTCTCCTGTGCTATTCTTGTCCATATTTTCCCATACATGCTCCCTAGGAACCACCCGATGCACCGGAGAGCGCCTCCTGGCTTTTTCTCTCGTTTTCAGTCCATGACCAATCCACTTCCTTTTCCTGTTAAACTTACCTGGTTTTGTTTACAGTAAGGATGTCAATGTGTGTATTTGCTTCTATTCCTGCAGATCAGTCGTGGGTCAGGCTACTGGCCACAGAATGAACGTTGGTAAACGTTTGTAGATGGTCGGAGCCCTGGGTGATTCTCGGCATCTTTCTTCCCTTTGCCAGCCCAGTCACCGCAAATGCAGAAAGGCACAACCTAGGACCAAGGGTCATTGTGTACTGTTTCCTAGGACTCCGCAGCCCCCAAGAGGGAGGTGGCCCACATCCCGGTGATGAACCTCCACATGGTGGGGGGGCACTGGGTGCCAGGCCCTCCCTCAAATCGCCTGCGGTCTGGCAGCACTGCTGGAGCTTGTCCTCTGCAGGCATGGCTCCAGAGTCACCTCTGCCCATGACATCTCTGGGGCTCCCAATATGATGACAGTTTTGATTTTTTCACGAGTTACACGTCTCTAGTCTGAAATAACAGTGGCAACTATAGGATGACCGGAATCAGACCAGATCTAGGAAGATGACAAAAAGTAACTAAATGAATACTGTTAGTGAAGCAAGTCTGTTTATTACAGCCCTCATAATTTTTTCCTATAATATAGACAAAGAATTTTACAACATACAAAATAAATTATGGGTTAGTTACCATAAAAACGTAATGGGTAAACATTTCTTGGGGAGTTAGGATTCTAGAAGGAGGAACTGCAGAAAGTTCATGGTTTGCTTCCTTTTTTCTTCTAGAAAACTGTATTTCTTTTAAAAATACAGCAACTTTTGTCCACCAGCTACCTCGTCCAGAATCTTCCTCTGGGTCGCCCCTTAAGTACTATTCTGCAAGTTAACTCACATTTAGAAACTGGATCTTGTGGTGGAAGAAGGCAGGAAAGATGGGAAACAAGCCATCTAAAACACTAACCACAAGTTTACTTTACAGAAGAAATGTACAAAATCAAGAGGAAACCATGGAGTCGTTTTACTGACAAGCGGGTCGAAGGGAGCCCTGCCTGGCGCGCTAGCTGTGCTTCTCTGCTCACTAGAGGCAAGTCTCCGGGAGGGGGCCTGGGACTACCACCAACACTGCTCTACTGCACACTTCTGGACGTGCTGGACGAGGCTTTAAGTAAAAGGGCTCAGCTTGGCCCGCAGCCTCTCCATCTTGGCCGGAAGCAGCCCCGCCATCTCTCTACTGAGCTCTAGCTCGGTCTCTACGGCACGCACGGCTTCGGGGTACCTCTCACAGTAGTCAACCAAGAACATGTAGTATTCCAAAGAGGCCTGCATGTTGTCTAGCTCCTTCCGGCCATCACAAGTGATGAGTTTACCATAGAGCCGAGCGATGTGGAACTTGGCTACCAGAGCAGGGCGGAGAACGTCTTCGCTGAGCTGCTCTGGAAACACCTTATTGGGGTCCCTGAGGGAGTCGAGGAAGAGTTCATAGTACTTGATGGCTGACTGAGCCAGGGAATTGATTTTCTTTACTGTGTGTGAATCGAGCTCCTCTAGCCTGTTGGCGATGGCCACCTTTAAATCCATCATCTCATAGTAGGTGTGGGCGAGCTCAAACTGAAGCTGCCGGGTGATCAACAGATAATACTGTGGATTCAGGTCTACAGTGAGGGGCTCTAGCATAGCTATTCTCCGCTTGTGCATCTTACAACGCCGCTCATAATCCTCTTCAAAAAACGCAAGCACCTTAAACAGAGAACTGTGGTCTTGGACAATTTCGATATGGTCAGTGATGTACCCGTCAACCTGAAAGTACTCTTTCGCCTCACAGACATAGTTCTGGCCCACTAAAAACACCTCTCTGGCTTCCCCAAAGTCTAGTGGGGGCACGCAGGCCACCTTCTCTTCTATGGCCAAGATGGCGTCACACACATCACTAGTGCCAAAGAGCACAACTTTCTTCCTGCCATTTTCTTTCTCATCTTCCTCTCTTTTCCTCTGAGCTTTAAGTTCAGACTGTTTATCAAGGTCAAGTTCTCCAATGTTGTCCTGAAACGGAAGAAAAGCAAAAGGTTAAAGTAGGACCCTGATCTACTATCATCTCTAACAATGTGAATCTTTTTTTTTTTTGGCTTACACTCCCCAACCACTAACAGAAGAAAAAGATGTAAAATTCTCCCTAGACTATGTTAAGTAGCCAAGCAGAGGCAAAATTTTTAATTAAACAAAGGAAAAAATGAAAGAAACCTCTTGGATTTGGATAATAAAACTTATCTTCTATAGGTCATTCTCTAGAGATTCATTTACCTGCTATGCAGCTCCTGTTTTATTTATTAATCTCCTTCCTAGTAGGGATGCTAAAATTAACACATATACGGTATGACTATTTATGAAAAGATATTACAGAAATATAAAATGATCATCTCTAACGTGAGAAGAGAAAGAGGATAAAGTTGAATAAATATCTAGAGCTAAGACAACACTTTTCCCCCGGGCCTCAGTTTCTTTTTCTGTAAAATAAGGGGGTTGGAGTGGTTGATTTCTAAACTCCCTTCTGCAATCCTTTGATGAGAGAAGGGTAAAGAAAATTGCAACTGGCAAGGAACAGTAAGAATTTTAAAGCTACATCTCCCAAAAAGGCCTAGTATAATAAGCCCAATTAAGTAACAAAGGAGGCGGATCGAAAGACCCAAGTCAAGGCACCAAAAACGCTCGCCGCTTTAACCTGGCCAAGACGTGGCTTTCAGGAGTGGGAAAGCCGAGTGAAAGGACAATGGCTCAGAAAGTCCTTTTCCTTTTCCCAAGAGAAGGACGCAGAGCTCCTCTGCCCATCAACAAAGCCAAACTTACCTGCACAGGCTGGACACTGACGCTCTCCTGAGGGACATGCAGCTTCCATTCAAAATTCAAGAGACTAAAACCCTCTGAAGTCTTTCTAAATGCCTCCCAAATGTATCTCTCAAACAGGTCTTGCAGTCCTATCTCCTTAATAAAGTCTCCCTGCATCAAAGATGGCATCCTCTGGTCCCATGTGGGTTGATGTGGGATTCCAAGAACCACCGTCCACCCCAAATAAGCCTCATGCTTATCTTTTGTTCCAAAGTTTACCCTTCACATGTACATTGGACCAAATGTCCAGAGGGTCTCTTGGCTTAACATTTCTATTCTGTCTTCTAGCATATTTATCCATGTTCTAACCAGTTGCTGCCCGCTGGAGCTTCCATTTGTTGTCTCCTTTTTTGTTTCCTCTTTGGGCCGCTCTCCACCACGGCCCCCTGCCCTGCTCAGCTCCCTGTCAGGTGCTTGGAGCCTGGGGGCAGTGCCTGGCTCATGACCTGCCTATTCACTAGAATGTTTGCCACACGTTTTAAAGTTCTTACAAGGCAGGGACCATTACTGTCTTCAATGACTTGTTGCCAAACTGTCAGTGGAAAAATGCTGATGTTAAAGAAGACAAGCCTTTGTTTTGGGGAGAAGCTGGGGGATCACGAAAAGCACTGGATTATTTCCCAAATGCAATAAAGCCTGTTCTTTTCCTCCTTCTCAATTCTAGGCCCTATTCACTGCCTGGTCACAGCAGCTATTCAAGGCCAAGACAGATCTCTGGGCTGTGTGCGTCTGTCCAACAGGCATTCTTTAGCCACTTGGTTTGTCCGGAGTGGGTCACCTGGCCAGACTCTTAGGTGATTGCAGATCTCATTTAAGAGGCTCTGCCATGGTCCTAGGCTTGATATAATCAGCACAATGTCATCCGCAAACAGGAGTATATGGAAGACCTCAGATCTATAGCGAATCCCTCCTCTTCCTCACACTGGAGCCTTTGAAGATAGTGAGAAACACCTTTGTTGAGCACCTATGTCCTCATATGCCTTGCCTGATGTCAATAATTAAAGGGTCGAATGTAGTTATCTTTATCATTAGATCTTTCAAGGAATCCTGTATAATTTCCACATCTGTATGCAAACAACTTGTTGGAGGACAGCCTGGAAGGTGGTATGGACTCTACTGAATCAAATGTTGAATGGTCAGCACAGTGGGATCCCATGCAGCCATTCACCAAGATGACTTGGGCCTACCCAGGGCCAGCATCCTGCCGCCTGCTTGGTGGTGGCTGGCCTTGGGAACCGGCCTGGAGCTGACATACCCCCCCCCACCCCCGGCTTGAGCCAGAGTTCTCTGACTCTTGTGCCTGGATCCCTTTGGCGAAGACTATGGAGCCCCTCTTGGAATCAAGCTTTTAAATGTATAAGACTACAAAGGAAACCAAGTACACTGAAGGACAGTTACCAAAGCATTTTTAGAAAGTTCACAGAGCCCAGGTGAAGGACCTTGGGTTAGCGGGTCAGAGAAAGAAAGGCTATTCACCTGCTCCCTCTAGTTTGGCCCAGAACGTGCTTCACCTCCCACCAGGGCCTGCCCAGAGCAGGTACCTCGCCAGCTACCCTGCCAGGGAGGCAACCCCTGACCAACGTCCTCCTGCTCTGGGGCAGAATATGTGATAGAACACATGTATGTATGTGTATGTGTATATACAGAGAATATGTAACGGAATATATGTATTAATGTATGTATGTATACATACACATACACACACACACACACACACTTTCTTACACACTCATAAAATCAATACAGCCCTGCTACTAGAAAGGCTATCAAGGGGAGCTAGGTAGCACAGTGGATAGAGCACCACCCCTGGAGTCAGGAGGGCCTGAGTTCAAATATGGCCTTAGACACTCGACACTAGCTGTGTGACCCTGGGCAAGTCACTTAACCCCCACTGCTCTCCAAAAAAAAAAAAAAAAAGCTTTCAAACCCACATCTGGAAAGGACCTCAGAAATCACTTAGCCCAGCACCCTCATCCTACAGAAGAGGAAACTGAGGCCTGCAGAGGACAGATCATGAAGTCAGTAAGTGGCAGCAGCGGATCCCGGACCTGGGTGCTCAGTCCTCCAAATTCACTGCACTCATGGCCGGACGAAGGTGCAGTTGCCAGCCCTACCTATGCTTCTCTTCTCCTGGTTCTACTCCACTATCTTTATTGTACCCCGCCTCCCAACCTCCCCACGTTGGAAACTAAGCTTCTCGAGGACAGGGACTGTCTCACATTTACATTTGTATCTCCAGTGCCCAGCACAGAGCCTGGCACACAGGAGATGCTTAACAAAAACAAAGCCTGCCTTGACCTGGAGGTAGCTGGTGGTGCAGCGGAGAGAACACTGGGCATGCAGTCAGGAAGACCCGAGTTAAAATCTGGCCTCGAACGCTGGGCAAGTCACTTAACCTCTGCTTGCCTCAGTTTCCTGAACTATAAAATAGAGATAATCATAGCACCTCCCTTTCCCAAGGTTGTTGTGAGAATCAAATGAGACATCTGTAAAGCACTTAGCTGGTGCCTGTCACACACAAGATGCTGTGTTATTCCCTTTTCCTTGACTATTCTCATACCACCATCAAGTAAGGTCAAAGACTTCACAGAGATGGTCAGAATGCGGTCACTCCCAGAGCACACTTCCCACCTTCCCCTGGCCCCACAGGCAGGACCTCAGCAACCGCCAATGTGAGAATCCACACATGCAGAAAAGAAATCTTCGTCACTTTGGTCTGGCTGCTGTCTTTCCTTGCATTAAAAAGGCCCCCTGGCTCTCCCCAAACTCCCTATCAACTTGTTTTCCTTGACCCTGCCTGTCTACGTCAGCCCTCTGACGGCCCCAACCTGCACTGCCCGTGGGTGTCATCTCCCCGGACTGCTGAGGGTCTGAAGATACTTCCAGGCACACTGATGGGGAGACACCTTTCAACAGTCCCAGGGACTGAAGAGATTTTCACCTTTTGGATGTGAAGGAGCTATTTTCTGTTACGAATTCACCAGCCACTCAGTGATCAGTCATGGGCTAAGGCCCTGTGAAGCTGCCATCAGCTCTGCCCCCTCTGGTCGACCCTACCTCCAGGGAGGCCTGCGCGTTCTGCAGGAGATTCAGGCAGTACTTGATCCAGCACCGGGCAATTTCTGCTCTCCTTTGACGAAGATCTTGCTGTTCTTGCTCTGTTTCAGCTGATAAGACACACAACACAAGCATCTTACATTCAAGGGTAGCTGACTTTCAACGTGCTGTGCACTAAGAATCTTAACTAGGCATCTCAAACTGAATTTGTTTTAGCCTTCCAAAAAAAAAAAAATCAGTCCTCACTACATCCAGTGGAGGTTGTTAAACTAGAGAAAAAAGAAACAAACCATTCCAACTATTTCATCTATTGAAGGTACCTCTATCTCTTCAGAATCTATAACTTGTCCCTATTTGTAATCAGAATTCCTTTTTATATAAATGGCAGAAAGAAACTTTTAATAGCCAATACCCTGCAAATTAGCCTACTTTTAACCAGGTACCAAAATATTGGATCCTGTCACTGTGAAATCAAACAGTGACCCAGTACAAATTCCAACAGAGAAAAGCACATTTTAGGGTGAAATCAGGCGTTTGGTGGTAAAGTGATGACTATGTTCTTACTTTTAAACCTTGGGTCTAGTAGCAATGGAGGCAAAGACCTCTGTAAAGGATGAAACTGATAAAAGCTAACAAGATAATAATCTGACCCATGCCCAGGGCAGAATAAAGATAGACAATTTTCTCTTCTCTAGATGTGTGCTTTTTGATAACTTCACTCTTAGAAACAAAACAATCTTTGTATCCTTGCAGATATCCCAACTGAACCATCTGTATCCGTTACCAAACTGACATTAAATGAATGTCCTCAGGAGACCTAGAAAAGCCTGAAGAGAGAAGCCGAGAACCCCAGAGTTGGAAGGGACACCTCAGGTCTCCTAACAAAGTCCACAACGAACAGGAATCTCCTGAAGGGCTCCATTCTGGTCTGGAACAGCCCACCATTAGGAAGTTTTTCTTGAGATGAGGTCTAAATTTGCCCATTCTGCTTCTGGTGTCCTCTGAGAACAAGCAGAATTGGGCCAAGGCCTAATCCCTCCTCCAAATAACAGCCCCTTAAATCCCTGAAGACACGATCCCCTAGTCATCTCTTCTCCCAGTTAAATAGCCCCGGTTCTTTCACATGGAAGAGACACGAGAAAACGACTTCTCCACCAAACTGCGCCAGACTTTTTCTGTGACTCTGTGACCCATTCTTGCCCAGAGCGCTGATCTTCTCAAAAAACTCAAGAATCATCTAAGAAGTAACTCTTACTTGATTTATAAAAAGCTTAGTCTTTCCTGCTATGGAAGCAATTTGGCATAAGGAAGTGTCACGAGCAATATGCAGTGTACAGAGTCAGAAAGAGCTGGGTTTACATCCCACTTCTGACCCACAATGGCTGTGCGATCACGAGCAAGTCACTTAACTTCTCAATCCACATACATTAATTAAGCACTTGCCACTGCGCTAACCGTAAGGCATAAGAAGAAAGGCAAAAACGAAGTCCTTGCCCTGTACGAGCTCCCGGGGGAAAGAACATGCAAATAATTCAGTAAATGCAAGAAACATACAGAGTAAGGGAGAGGAACCTCATAGGAGAAAGCTCTCTTGGGGACCCTGGAGTCACTGGCAAAGCAGAAGCATGTCTGAACATTTACTAGACAGGTGAGAAAAAGGTATCTAATTTCAAATTTAAGAATTTTAGTTTAGGAGTGACTCAAGGGACACTATGTCTATTACTACACAAAGAAACTGGTCAATGCATTACTGCAACTGCCAACTGACATACACACCCTAATTTCTGATATGTTGTCTTCACCATGATTAAGAAAATGCTTTCAAAAACTATGTAATATAAAAACATCCACACTCACTGTCTTCTGTTGATGGAGTCTGTTCGGCCTGGGTAAAGATGACACTTGCAGCTGACAAACAATGCCTGGATTCCATAAAACATTGCTATGAGAAAAGCAAGCAATAGTGAAATGAGATTTGAATTTCTAGACTGGCAATATTAACAGAATGTGCAATCTTTAAATATAGCTACTGCAATAAAATCTATAAAAAAATCCCACCAAAAAAGCCCCTTTTTCCAGCACACAAGATACACTCACATATACAATCTCTCATGTGTTTGCCTGGCTAAGCAACCCCATGAAGAAATTCCAGTATAGTCCCCTAAACATGAAGAACTGATTGAGAATACAATCTAGAGGAGGGCTTTTTAACCTGGAGTATGTGAAAAACTTTTTCACATAGAAAAATATTTTCATACTATATTTCAAGATAGTTGGCTTCTTTTGTATTCCTATGTGTTTTATTTTATGCACTTAAAAACATTATTCCCATAAGGGAGCCCCAGGCTTCATCCAACTGCTAAAGCAGCCTGGAACATAAAAATGGTCCAGGAGCCCCCTACTGCAGGACCACAGACTCCTAGAACAGGTGGTCTCCTTAGCACAGGGCTAAGCACCTACCTGGCCCCTCCCTGCAGCTGCCTTAAGTTTTGGGTCTTCTAAATCACATGCTACTCTCTGAAAGGCTGAAGAACAAAGCAGCATCCAACTTAATAATAATTTGAATTCGTGAGGGTATAAGACCATAAGAAAAAATGAGCTCTCCTTGTGCTAACAGTGAGTAAGAGGTATCATTAACCTTTATCCAAACTAATGCTTTCTCCATTAAGTCCTTTAGCCTAAACTACTCAAATAAAAAGTTAACGAAGACCTGGCCTTATAGACTAGATAAAGGATTACATAAAGGGAAAAGCTAGCTAAATTTTAAAATTAAACCATATGCTCAAGATACAAAGAAATAGATTCTGATAGTCAACTATTCTTCTCCTCTATCCACCATCTGGCCAGAAAGATCTCTATCTACTGGGGTCTGCAAATAAAGAGACATCTCTGTGAAAGTCCACTACCCAAGCCTGGGGAAAAAAAAATTATTTTAGTAACAGAACTCAATAATTTGTAATTCAAAAACAGACACCATAATTAGAAAACTAGTTTTGACTGTCTCAAGATTACCAAGGAACTTTCCACAGTAACATGCTGGCCAGAGTAGCACAGCGAGTCTTTAAATGACATTTGACATGGGGATAAGCATGACACCTGGCTAGCAGCATCTGCCCGTCACAGCTAAGATGATGCCAGCAGGTGACGTAACCAACTCCTCAAACCATTTATAAAATGAGAGCCACTTTATTCTACAACAGTGGATTTTCAAGAGGAAGCTCAAGGGGAGCTAACGTAGGGAGACGTTAACTTGGATTTGATCTTCAGCATTAAAATACAGCATCCCAAAAGTCTCAGTGCTGGTAACTAAGGCTCTGAACTCTGTGTCTTGCCCACGGTCACACAGTGTCAGAGGCAGGGCTAAAAATCTGTGATGAAGGAGGCAGTTTGGACACTAAAGTACCAAAGGACCTTTGCTCCTGGGAATACTAACCTATGTAGGGTGAGGATTTAGGACTCTGAAGGACTCCACGACTTGGCAAATGAAGCCAGCTACAAGTGAGCCCAAATGAGAAACTTCACAACTTCACTGAACTGCAGCTAAGCTGAGACAGTTTCTTCTGGTGGTGAAAATTATCAGGGAAGCTAATTCTCAAAATAACCGAAAAATATCACGCTATTTATCAACTTCCTTTTGAAATTCAGATAATAGTTATAAGATTACAGTTACCTAAAGAGGACCCACAAATTCATCAAGATAAAGCTATTTCTGCAATCACGATAAAAGCTCAATTTAACTTAATGTTTCATTAAACCAAACTTGAGAAAATGATGTTTATTATTTTAAATCTTTACTCAAATGACTTATCAAAGGATAACAGATTATTGATAAAGAATCTTACAGACCATCTAGTCCAAAGCCTCAATTTTACCAGTAAGGAAACCTAGAGGCAGAGAGGAGAAAGTGAACTGTCCAAAACAACACAGTAGGGGACAGAAGTAGCATCTGAACCTTGGTTCTCAAATATGTAATGCTGTCCCCTCCACCAGGCTCCATTACAGATGATGCAGGGTCACAGTATGCTGAGAGGCCCCTTTCCACCCATGCCTGAAAGATCAGGGAAATAACCAAGCCCTAGCATTCCTGAGCCCGGCTCCCTCCTTCACATCTTGGCCAGGAAGAGACCCAGGCTAGACTCACAGCATGGTCCCCAGCAGGAATTCTTATCAGAGGCACAAAAAAGAAAACAGCTCTGGTTTCTTGATCATCCAGAGCACCCAGTGTGCCGTGCCTTCTGGCAAGGGCTTACCTTATTGATATAATATTGGGATAAGGTGGCAGCATTGATAGCCCATTCTACGGGGTGGTAGCCGCTGTATTCCAGTTGGCGTTTGAGAGTGGTGTGGCAATACTGAGCAGCTTTCTCAATCATTTCCAAGTGCTGGTAGACTTGAGCCAGGTAATACAAGGTATGAGTATACGCCTTCTCAAATCTGTGTGACAACAGGCCATGAACAGAGGATCACAGAACTGCAGAAGTACAGGGGACCCCAGATGCTGGCTAGCCCAAACTCTACCCAGAGCAGGAATCCCACCTGTGACATTACACATTTCCACTTACACACCTTCAACAACTAGGAATTCACCAGACCCTGGCAGGCAGCCCATGTCCTTCGAGTGAACAGAAACCTGCCCTCCCCGCCCCCATCACCTCCAGAGTCAAACACAAACTGAGTCCCTCGTCCACACCGAGCCACGTGGCTCGCTGAGCATCACCGAAAGGAGGCTCGGGAACACTGGGCACCCACCTTCTGGATCTCTCCTGCTCCGTGAGCTTCTCTTCCTCAGGCAGAAAGTGCTCGTTGGGATCAAGAGGAGGGTTCCCAATCTAGAAGAAGAGAGACTCTTTGTGAATACCAGGCTCCCTCTTCTGGTGAAAAGGAGGAACCCCAAAGTCTTCATTTTCACCAGTTCTCTCGAGCCGCCAAAGTCTGTAAGTTAAGACCTGACGAGAAGCTGAAATACTTCCGCATCCCAGGCTTTGTTTCCAAACCCTAAAAAACCTGCCCCTGCTTAGAAGCCATCACAAAACATCTTAAAAACATCTCCACTGCTTGGGCTGGTAACACTCCCCAAGTCACAGCTTAGGAACGAGGGCAGCAATGATCCAGCGGCCAAATCCCAGACTCTGGCTCTTTCTCACACACTCAGAAGCGGAACCAACCAGTAGACAAGATCTGACATGGCAATACCATTTAAAATGAATCATTAGGAAAAATTAAGTCCAACTATTCAGTCATTCTCAGCTTCTCCTCCAATAAGGGGAAAATGTACATCCCCCTTACAGAACAGAAAGCGTTTTTCCCTCCAAGATTCCCCCTCTTCAGTAAGCCCCCAACAACAGAGTACTTCGCCTTCATTTTGCCCAACTTTGCTTTCATTAGCACAAGACCATCACTGATGTGCCTTGAACTGGATTAACCAGCCGACTACAGGCAGTAGCTCGGCCCTCTTCTGAAAGAAGCCCGTCCTGCTGATGGGAGCTCTCAACAGATTCCTAATTCGGCTCCTATGCTGACCGAAGCCACTGGAAGAGGAAAGCATTGCTAAGGCAGGTCACGATGGACAAGCAGGTCTGCAGAGGCCCTAACAAAGGCGCTGCTGTGGCAGAGCTCTGTCAACAATTCAGAAAACTCTTTAATATGCAGAAGACCCGCCTCGCTGATGGGGACACACACAAACACAAGAACCTATGTCATGGCTATCTTTTCATAGCCCTCCCCAGAAGAGTCAAAGCAGCCTTTGCCCCACTTCTCTCATTAACTAGTTCCCTGTTTTTCTACCAATGCAACAATTTAAGTGAAAAACAAGACTTCACAATGAGTAGTCATATTCCCACATAAATTCAGTGACTTAACAAAATACTAAACTCTCTTTAAATTCTTTTTTTCTATACATGTAAATAAAGTCCTGACATTTAACACTGTAGAAGACTCTTTGGTTTATGTGCATGAAGACACATTAGAAAGCACCTTGCTGGGGTTTTTTGCCTTCCTCAAGAGGTACAACCAATCTGGGAGAGGGGGGTCATCTGAACTCCATTTACAGCTTTAACTTTCAATCATTCCTTCTTAACAAGAGTTTTGTTTGCTTGTTTTTTTTGCTATAATTACATGTTATACAGCTTGTTATACAGATGCCCTTTAAATTACAAAGCTTTTGTAGCACCTTAAAAATCACTGCTTTGGACTAACCTATCCCATTCTGATTGTTATATGATTTGTGATTTCACTTGTGTGAGAAGTCTGTCTTTAATCCCCTGCAAAGATCAGTTGGGAAATCTCCTCATTTGTACAGGACACTTTTCAATACCTACTCATGTTCAGGGTCTCTGATTTGGTGCTTACAATGACCCCACGAGATAAATAGGGAGAGCAAGGAGTAGTGCTGCCACTTCACATATGAAGAAAGAAGTTACAGAATGGGCTCAAAGGTACATAACTAGTCAGCAGCAGAAACTAGAACCACCTCAAGTCTCCCAATCCAGGGTGCGGCTCTCCCTGTTGCCTCAACTTTTCTAAGACGTGTAAATCTTGTGTGTATTTTTATTTAAAAAAACAAAAAAAAAGAAATTTTGATTTTTTTGCTATCAGTAGTGTGAAATGTATTAAATGTTTATTCACAACATCAATAACTGGATAATTCAAGTAGCTACAAAACCACTACAAATATTACCAGTGTGAACTCAAACAGAAATCATATATATTTTTTCCAAAACCTGAATCTGAAAATAAAGGAGTGATCTCTACCCTTGATTTTGAGAAATTTTTTCTCCAATTATTTAAAATTCTCAAAACAAAATTAATTAAAATTCACCTTAATGAAGTTTACAAGCTTTTCGGAACCGTGATGTCATAAAGGTTTCAGACATTACACTTTAATTTGCTTTCCTGTAAGAACAACAATTCTTAATGTCAGGCTGAAAAACCAATTTAGAATTTTTAGACCACAAGTGGTGCTAATAGTGACAGCGTGGAATCTCACCATCACACAACTCCCTGCAGCAGACAGCATCCCTCCCCCTCCCATCCTGCTGAAGGGGGTGTAGTTACTGAAATATCAGGACCATGTATCATAAAACTGCAATGTCACCCATTAGTAGTCCACAGCACAGCCATTCACACCAGCTAATTAGGGAGGCGCCAGGGAGCTCCTCAAGTCTCACCAGAACACTGGATTTTTTTTCCTAACAGCTTTTAACTAGCTCACAACTCAAACTGATCTCTGAAGCTTCTCCTACCTCTTTCATATACTGGTTGTACAGCGCTTCTGCAGACTCCAGGTAAGTCTGTGCAGTCTCAATTTCGTCTCTCTCAGACCACAGGATACCCAGGTTATTCTAGATTGAAAAGAGACATGAATTACAATTCAGAGAAAATGTCGCGCATTTACATTTAAAGTTACTCACAGGCATTCAAAAACACACCCATCAACCGCACCAGAGTGAGGGGACTCTGATTTTGACAATACGCGCCTGAAAGAAGCGAGAAAGTTACTGCTTCCTTAACATCTGTGGAATTAGAGCGTGCAGAGCTGGGAGGCACCTCAGAGGTCACCAGTCCAGGCCTCATTTTACAGATGAGGAAACAAAGGCCCAAAAGGACCAAAGTGACTTGCTGAGGGCCACCCCAAGGCCAGGGCCTTTCTGTCACACCCTGCTGCCTCTTTTGTCACTTCGGTGCTGCTGGAGGAGAGACGGAAGGGAAGCCCTAGATTCACTTCTAGTCTAAGGCCCAACAGTAACACTAACAGACACTCACCACATTCTGCCTGTTTCCTCAGGTGGACCGTAACTCCCCTGAGTTCCTCCCCTGAGGTCCAGAAGGTGTTTTGTGACTGCCATAACAGAAGTCTCTAGCATGACGCCTCTAGATGCAGCAAAGACAATCTGCGTTAAGTTTGAAAATCTACATCAGGCATTCAAGTTTGAAGCGGGCAAGGTGTGACTGCCAACAGCAGCCAGGCTTCAGGACACAGACCGAGAGGCGGCCACGATCCTCAAGACATCAATTAGTTCCAAAGGAACAAGGTTGTGAATGGCCACCGCCTTTCAAATCCTGACCTCTTGGGTGTTCCAGACCCACACTGCCACGGCCAAGACTTGTCCTACTCTATCTTAAACCATACCAGACAATAAATTCTACAAGTGAAAGACTGTATGAACCTCCTCACCAAGAGTTATCAAGAGTTCAGAGGATGGGCCAGGACAGGCCAGGAAGGCTTCCCCAAGAGCTATGACTTATGGAGGACATAAAGGACAGGCAGGATCCAGATGTGCAGAGTAGGACCCCTCTAACTCTGACATTATGTGATGGGAAGGCCCTCCAGAAATGAATTATGAGCAATGGGAATGAAGGAACAGACTGATCTTGTAGGAGTAAGAAGGTTCTACTAAAAGAGTGGAAGATAAGGTTAGAAAAATAAAAACAGGTTAGAAAATAATGAAGTAGGGCCTCAAATGTCAGTGATGATTTGCTGTCACAGGCAGAAACCCCAAGGACTCTTCCCCAGGATTCACCTTGTTTCCAAATGAAAAGAGACATTTCTTTTTCTTTTGGCTAGGCAATGGGGTTAAGTGACTTGCCCAGGGTCACACAGCTACTAAGTGTTATGATTTGATACTCAGGTCCTCATGAATCCAGGGCCGGAGCTCCATCCACTACGCCACCTACCTGCCCCAAAAGAGACATTCTTGAGCCACTGGCAAGAATGAAAAACCATGCCTCGTGTTTTATTTGTCCACTGGAGATTTCAGACTTTACTGTAGTCAGTCATCAACATCTATGACGGGCCAACTACGTGCCAAGCACTATGCTAAGCGCTGAGTATTCAAAAAAAGGCAAAGAACTCATCTAATGGGGGAGACAACACGCGAATAAATACATACAAACAAGCTATACACCAGATAAGCTAATTAACAGGCAAAGCATTTAAACCAAGAGGGTTTGGAACAGGCTTCCTAAAGATAAGGAACTCAGGAGGATGCGTGCCGGAGGGAGCTTCTGGAGTACTCAGCAGGGGCAGCAGGGGTGACGGTCAGACCTGCGCTTTGGCTGGGCAGAGGAGGGACGGCAGTGGGGACAAACTGGAGGCGGGCAGACCCACCAGCAGCTATTGTAGCAACCCAGAAGTGAGGTGATGAGGGTCTGCACCAGGGTGGGGGCAGGGTCAGAGGAGGGAAGGGGGCGTATTCAAAGGATGATTCAAAGGTGAAAACTAAAGGCCTTGACGACAGCTTGGCCATGGGGGAGGGTGAGAGGGAGTGAGGAATCCAGGTTGTGAGCCTGAGACAGGAAGGATGGTGTAGTCCTCGACAGTGTTGGGAAAGGGGCTTGGGGGTTTAGGGGGAAAGATAAGTAGCAGAACAGTTCACATCTGGCTGTCAACCCTCCCCAGTGACTGTGCTTCAGACTTTGCCACCACGCCTCATGAGGAATCACGTACATTCATAATGATTGTAAAGTGCCCCTCTTCCTTGCATTTTACACTACATACAATTGTCATTATTAAAAGATGTTAGGATTGACAGCTAGAAGGAACCTTAAAGGTCATCCAAAGAAGAAACTTTGAAGTCAACTGTTCTGAAGGTCCCATCTAGAATTTCTGAACTGACTTTGGAAATCCAAGTCAACTCAAGCATAGGACTAAGAAGAACACAGAATGTCAGGGCAGCTAGGCCCTGAGAACAAGGAACAACAGGGTCTTTAGAACTCCCTGGGTCAGGGCTGACAAGACTTTAGAGATCAGTGACTCTTAACCTTCCTTTGTGCCATGATTCCCTTCTCAGAACAATGTTTTTAAATGTATAAAATCAAAGACATAGAATTATAGAGAAAACCAATTATACTAAAATATAATTGTCAAAAAAATTTTTTTTAAAGTTCATGGTCCTCAGATTAAAAACCACTGGCCTAGCTCCTTTGCTTGGGAGAGGATTTGTAAAAAGGAACAATGGAGGAGGAAATGGAAAGGATATGTGAGGAAACGAATAGGATGTAGAAATAAAAGGCATAAATAAATAAAAGGCTCCTCCTCCCCCAGACTTAGGGTCACAGCGGGGGTCCCCTCTCTGGCTCCCCCCCAAGACACAGGATCACAGCGGGGGTCCCCTCCTCCCGTCCCCGGATCACACCTGGGCTTGCAGGTGCAGGGACACGGCGGCGGGCTCGAGGCGACTGCGGCATACCAGGCGCAGGCAGTTCTGCAGGTGCTCCTCGCCGGCCGCCAGCTCCTCCGTGTCGATGTGGTTGAGGCCCAGCTGCAGCTCCACGGCGGCCAGACGCACGGCCCGCGCGCTGGGCTCGGCCCCGGCCCCGGCCCCGGCCCTGGCCCCCGGCCCGGCGCGCTCCGCCGCCGGCCCCTCCTCCGCGCCCGGGCCGCCCCCATCACCGCCGCCGGCCTCCTCGTCCTCGTCCTCGTCGGCCGCGGGCCCCAGCAGCGCCTTCACCTCCTGCAGCAGCTCCCGGGCGCGGTACTTGGACTTGTACGGGTCGTTCTCCGGGTCCTTCTGAGACTGCACCTGCGACAGCGACAGCGACGCGCGGAACTTCTCGCAGGCCGCGGCCCAGGCCGCGGGGGTCGCCATGACGCCCGCCTCGTCCGCCCGGCCGCTGCCCTAGCGCTCGGCCGCGCCCGCACCACGCACGCCGCGCAACCTCGCGGGGCGGGGCCGCGCTGGCACGCCAGCCAATGGCGGGCGGCGCCGGCGCTAGGGGGCGGGGCCACCGTGGCGAGGGCCAGCGACCGTCGCCATGGCGACATAGCCGCGCTCGCAGGGAGTCTCCGCTCCCCCTCTTCCCTAGCTGGACTGCGGGGAGGCTACGCAGTGACGTTGCCGCTCCTTTGGCCCGAGCTGTTCCGAGGCGTCCCGAGCCGACCTGCCTTCCCCTCACGTGACTGCCGGCCCGGCCCTGGGAAGAAGGGGCCTCAGGCTCCGATTCTCTTCTGCGCATGCTCATTGCGCATCAGCTGAGTGCTAGGCTGTGTCCCAGGGGACCGGGCGGGGCGGCTGAGAAGGTGAAAACGAGCTTGTTTCCACAGTATGCATGCCTGCATTAGTCTCGATACAGCGTTTATTAAGGGCTTACGTGTGCCAGGCACTGTGCTTACCAAAAATACCTACCCCAAAATAATGGGGGCTAGTGTTTATGTAGCGCTTTAGGGTTTGCAAAGCGCTGTATAAATGTCTCACCTCTAGGAGGGATGGGCTATTGCTATCTCCATTTAACAAATGGCAGAACTGAGACAGAGGTTAACTGACCTCCCTTGGGTGGCAAGCTCGTGTCCGAACGCAGATTCGAACTCAGATCTGCTTGACTTCAGGTCCAGTGCTCTATGTGCTGTGTGCCAAGCAGCCACGTGTCAATAACTAGGTACATGCAGTATGTGTACATACAGCCTACAGCCTTTGGGAGAAGCCAGGGAAGCCGAGGCAGAGGCCCAGAAGCAGCGCGGAGTGGGGGGCAGCTGCTCGGAGCCTGCAGTGCGAGGGCCTAACGGGCATCTCCTGTGCTCTGTAGTGGCGAAGGGGGGGGGGGGGGGACAGGGGGGGGGCGGGGGGGGGGGGGGGGGGGGGGGGGGGGGGCAGGATGACCCCATGCAATGTGCAAAGTCACTGATAGGGAGGTGGCCCAGGGCCTGCCCCCTAGAGGTGAGGGAGTTCATTCCAGCCAATACCCAGCGAGGCAAGTCTGCCACAACAGCTGGGCACTCCCTGTGTCCTGAGCCTGGAGGGGCCTATGGGGCACACGAGTGTGAGAGGGGAATAAGGTGTCTGTTTGGGACGTCGACCGGGGCAGAGGGATTAATTGGGAGTCTGGTGTAATAGTCTAGGGGACAGGCACAGAGGGCCTTAATTAGCGAGGTGGAGAGATGGAGGACACTGAATCCTAGCCCCAGCAGGTGCCAGTCTTTGAACCCCATATCCAGAGCTGAATTCCACTAACACCAGGAGAGTCCTTGGAGATATACAGACCCTGGCATCTCTCCACTGCACAATGCTGTGAGAGGCTTCCCCTACCCCAATCCCCAAAAGCACAGCCTAAGTCATTGCTTCTACAAAATGGGACTAATTTCTGCCCTATCCAATATTGGTGGGTGCCAAATGAAGTAATGGGTACATAATCTCCTGAGAATTTGTTAATAATCACACACACACCCCTGCCACCTTTCAGGCCTCTGCAGGGCCCAGACTTGTGTTATATATGGGGGAAAAATGGCACAGGCATAAGGAAACTAACTTTTTATTAAGGCATAAGACAATATCTTAGAAAATACCTTTAATAATCTGTTGACAGTTCACAATTCATAACCAGATTGTATTCTGAAAATCCATTTGTAAAAAAAAAAAAACATTTGGAACACTTTCTCATGGGAACTAAATTATAAATGGTGGTGAGGTACCCAGGCCAGCCCAACAAAACCTCTTTAGAACTCATATTTTAGGTACTAATGAATGATATTAGCACAAGTCTTGTTCTAGGAAAATTACATTTCCCCCCCAGTCTTTCATAATGAACATTAGTATGTTCCGTTGAAAAGTCTAATTCTGCCAAGTTGCTTTTATATTGAGAACTAAATTTTTCTTTTGTTCACTTACAGAAGCATTCTTGATTCCAAAGCACAATGGCGTAGGCCCACAAGGCCCTCTCCAAATTCAAGGTGACACCAGTTCCAAACCCAATGCTGTTGGCTGCCCACCAAAGCTTTGCCCGCTACTAATGGCTGAATCACAGCAATGGGATGCAGTAGTAAAAACCTCTCCCCACCAAGGTTAAAGGAACTCCACACTAAAAAGGGTCGACTCAGGGCCAGAAGCCCTGGGTTCAAGTTGGAAGCTCTGCCATATACTCAAGGGGGGTGACCTTATCAATTACCTCACTCTGGGAAGTCCCCTTCATCCTCTGAAAAAAGAAAAGCTGGAGCTCCAGGCTTCCCTGAGGAACATCCTGTGATGACAAGAGGGTGGAATGAGGGGTTTCAGCACCCTCCCAGTCACTAAGCACCTAATTCCTGAGCAAAGCATTAAGAACCACAGTATTCAAAGGATTTCCAAGAGCATCAGTAAGTGAAGATTTCAGCTGGTTGTGAAAATGCTTGCTAGACTGGTCTTTTGATGCTTTCTGCACTAACCAGGGCAGCTGAGGCTGGTGGGGGTCCAATGAGCTGGAGCTTCAGGAGCCAAATGAGAAAAAAGAAGGGTCACCAAGGTCACAGGACATCATGGCAGCCTTGGAGAGCATTTGGCCCACTCCTCATCCAAGATCATTCAGCTAGTAAGCAGCTGGGCTGGGGTTCAAACCCATTTCCCGACTGCAAACCAAGTGTTCCTTCCACTAAATCTGGTTGGGGTGACCAGAGGTTTGGGAGCAAAGGAGGAGCCATCAAACTGGGGGACAGCACAGCACAGACACACCAGAGGGGCTTCATAAATGCTTGGACTGCCCTCACACTGAGGGAGACAAGGGTGTGTAAGCCCCATACCACCAGCAACAGACAGGACAACGTCCCAGGGGATGAGAGAGATTGTTAGGGCCACAGAAGGCACCTAGAGAAGGGATGGAAACCCAGCCAGGAAACACCATTATGGAGAGGAATGGACGTGACCCAGATCATCGATGGAGCCTCCAAAGATACCTTACAGAGAAGGAAGAATACAGTGACCCAATCGATCATCTCTGCTGCACATCAAAGGAGTTTTTGCTTTCATACAGAACCACCTCTAGCACACAGTAGCTGCTTAATAAATGTTGACGGAATCAAAAAGCAAATATACACATTCTATAACATTATAGGTCATAGAAATTTACAAAATGAGAATCAACCTAATATTTTTCCTATTACTAACAGAGAACCTGCTTGCCAATCATCACTTCACCAAGTTTTATACTTCCCTAGATGGTGGCTTTGAATTTTTTCTCATAATTGAAAAAGGTTATCTAATAGTTTATTTTACCTGCTTAGCAAATCCAGATTTTTCTTTTAATTTCTCCAAAATAAACAATGTTTCTTTCCCAAATGGAGAAGAGTTCAAAGCAAGTAGACAAACATCTGCCTGCCTGCCTGCCTTCCTTCCCACCTGGGAATGGGCATGAATTATCTTCTCACGTCTGAGATTCCGACAGATGCCTTCTGTCAAATTTGCTAGTTTTTCTTCTACCATGAAGGAAGATTTAATAGAACCTGGTTAAAGCCAGATGGGTCCCACGTCACCGCGGAGAATGCCTGTAATTTTATTTCTCGAGCACCAAAACAGCATCAGATGCACGAAAAACACGTTCTTTAGAAGACAGTGAAGCTGCGGCATCGTCAGCAGGACCCAGGCTCTAGAACAAGCCGATGCCCAATGCTCACCAGCATTGACCCTTAGGCTGATGGCTCCCCAGGAGAATCCATTCAGCTGGTGGACTGGGAATATCTGTTGCAAAAACAAATCTTTGGCTATGCAAGAAAGATCCTCCGAGCTTGGGTGCCCCGTGAGCTCGTCCTCAGGGTAAAACACTACCCAGAGATGCTGTAACTACCTTCAAAGGGCAGAGCCTGGGCAGAAAACGGACTTGACTGAAAGGAATGCACGGATGTGGGTTTCAGATGACAACACATACACTGATGTGCCCTCCTCAAAGAAAAGCTTCTGAAGACATGGCAGACGGGCCTCAACGCAGTGAGCACCATCCCGTGCTGCGAGCTGCCCCAAAGGACAACGGCTGGCTGGTTTGATGAGTGGTAGAAGGAAAGCAGGAAGCAGGCCTAAGAGTTTAAAAAAGTCACTGGGGAGGGCATTGCTGTGTCTCCAAACGGAATCCTGTCCTTTTGCGCATCTTAACGATGAGAAAACGCTCTCTGAAAACTTCTCTTCTGGCCTCTATTCTGAAATTTGTCATTCTTGTTGAAGCCGCCGCCACCACCACTCCGGCCGCCTCGGCCACCACCTCGGCCACCTCGACCTCCTCGACCGCCGCCGCCTCCCTGCCTCTGGTTCCGAAAACTAGAGAAGCCTCTGCCTTCGTCGGGCTGCTGCTCCAGCTCAGGTCTCTCGGTGGCCACAGAGAGCTGCCAGCGCCTCGAGTCCTGCCACTGGTCCTAGGGAAAACAAGGTCTGTTTGTCCCAATTCAGTCTGTCTAGACACCATTTGAGGGAAAGCAAGCATCTCCTGGCCTTCCAAAGAGTACCCACATCTACACGCGGTGACTTCCCTTCTACCTGCTTTCTTTGAATGCTAAATGCTGTGGGCACTTTATGAACACCGTCCTGACTGCCATGGTCACTGAAGCATGATGGGAAGCTCCCCTCCCCGTACATTCCCAAGCCATTTGCTGCACCCCGGAACTACATCCCACCCACACTATGCCAGATGAGAATACCTGGAATGTCTTTACTTCTGCAGCAGGGACATCAAAACAAACGCCCTAAAAGGAAGGAACATGATGAAGACTTTCACAGAGGGTCCATCACCGCAAGTCCCTCTGGCCCTGAGCAAGGCTGGGTGACCCCAGTCAGGCAGAGCTCCATCAACTAAAGAGGGGAGATTTGTCGTCCAACATACAGCATGTGAATGGAACGTACAGGAATGCACGGTTCTATCCGGGCGGCCCTATCCATGCATCTCTTTCCTAACAAAGAGCTAAGCTGCATCGTGTGAATGGAATCTTCAGTCCTATCAGGATTCCATGAGAAAGCCTCAGGGAGAAGTGCCCTGCTGTCCAAGTAACTCGTGTAAAAGACATTGATGAGACCATCAGGAGAGGAAACCAACCTGGGACAGAGTGAGCTATGCTGAGGTCCTTGAGATACTCAAGGAGGTGCGGGGCAGACTCCAGAGTGTGGAGAATTTAGGGACTGAAAGGAGGAAGGAGGAAGGCTTGCAGTCGCACCAGCAGAACACCTGGTGCATTTGAAAAAAGACCGGTGGAGTCAAGAGCCCTGAGTTCAAAACTCAGCTCTGAGGCCACCTTGAAGACTTCGGGCAAACCTGCTCATCTGTAAAATGAGGGCAGTGGACATAGTGGTATCCACAGGTGCCCACGTCAACAAAATCAGGAAGGCAACATTGTCATAGTCTAGTTTTATCATGAAAACCTATCCTAGGAAAAGCTAAAAAGGAAAGGAATGATTAATTTTTCCAGGGTAGGATCATTCAGGTCAAATAATTCATCTTGGCACAAAGTTGTTGACTTTGTTTTGAGTTCCATGTTGAAATCCAGATAGCTCATGGAAGGTTCATTTCAACAAATGTTGCTCCAAACCCTCCAGGCTTCAGAGTTTTGATCTCAGCTCTGAACGTTCACAGGATGCATCGACCCGAGCACGACACCCCCAGCCTTGCCCTCGCCCCCTCCACTCCCTTTTCTTGTTCCCATCCTAGTCAGGCGGGACCTGGACTGAAGCTTCTCCGGGTGAGTGTCCCACTCAATCCACCCACAAGCACTGATTCCCCAGTTCCTGGGTGCCACGGCCAGTGTCAAGCAGGCAATGGGATGAAGCCACTTCGGTCTTTTCAGGGACCGTGGTCAGCTTCTGTCACAGCAGGGAAGCTCTCGGAGCCTGCTGCCACGAGCGGCAGCCCCCGTTGCCAGCTGCTCCAGCCTTACCATTTTCCCCTTGAGGAAGGTCATCCGTGTCACTTTGTCGTCGATCTCTTCCCCAAGCTGCTCTTTCAACCCTCTCCAGGCATAGCCAATATTGTGCATCTCTATGGAGCATTGCAACACCATCGTCACGAAGCCCTGGGCAGGGGGCACCGAGAGGAAAGGTTAGGCACCACAAGCAGCTGCAAAGGGCAGCAGAAAACAGCAACCGTCCCTCAAAACACAAGCCTCCCTTTAACAAGCGATTCTTAGCAGAGTGACTGAGCTACAGGCACCTGAACCAATTTTCCTTTTAAAAGAAATGCACACAAGTGATTTACTTCTCACGCAGGAACAAAAGCAAACCGCACACCAGACAGACAGGAACCACAGGCAGACTACGGACCGGCACCAGGCCCCCACCCCCAGATGAAGGCCTTGGCTGCGGGCGGCTCACCACGTCAGAGTTGATCAAGGAACGCTGCTCGACGGCGGTCGCCCCCGAGATATGGGCTAACGCAGCAGCCAAGGCTTCCACGGCCCCCTTCTCGTCAATCAGCTTCTGAGCTGTCTGTCTGAAGTTGTTAATGGCTGCAGGGGGCACCGAATCCAGAAACCTAGAAAGTCACCAAGGGCACATTATTTTGAGGAAAGACCCTAGATGTTCAGCACCTCAAGAAAGATTTTAAGGCTAAGATCTAGAATCATAAACAGCTGGCATTTATCTTGTACTGTGACACCTACAATGTGCTTTATACACGTCACCTCCTCTGGGCCCAACTATAATGTTACGACTGAGCTGCGATTATTCTTGTCCCCATTTGAGAGATAAGGCAACTGACAGCCTCAGTGGTAAGTGACTCTCAGCCCACGGTCACACAACTAGTAATTCCTGTTTGTTTGTTTGTTTTGGGGAGGGTGTCCTCTCCTGACTTTCCATGCTAGCTCTTTGCCCTACCCCACTACACAGCCTCTAGGGAACACTTGAAGCTAAAGCAATCCCACTTTCTAACCCCAGAGTGGCCAGATGCCCACACAACTGTGGTATGTCCAGGCTAAACGCAGACTTTAACTTGAGGCCACTGAATCCTTAGGGACAGTGCTACACCTGGCAGGCTGTGTGGTCCTGGCTGTTCATAAATACATCCATCCATAGAGCATCTCACACAGAAGAGGCCTCAGGAATCTGCTCAGGTGAGGGGTTCACATGGAGGAGCCCGGTCTGTCACGGGCCTCTCCTACATCGTTATTCACGGCTCTCTTCTTTCCTGCCCTTCGAGAATGTTCCCAATCCCAACTGAGCCCCACCCCCATCTCTCTGTCTGTCATTACAGAATCCCTGCTAAACTATGAAGCAATTGTTAAGTGACCATTAAAGACACTAATCTAACAAAAGAACCTTCCATGAGCTATCTGGATTTCAACATGGAACTCAAAACTGAAATAATGTAACAGCAAAATGGTAGGTTGATATTTTTGGTAACTGCCTCCTGGCAAGGCAGGAGAAGGCCATAGAGACATACAGAAAAATACAGATGGCAAGGGGGACTCCTATCTCCGACTGTCACTAGTGTCACTGTTTTTCCCGGCTTAAGGGCTCAGCCAGACTTTGCTTGCCAAATGACCAAGGACCTGAGGTAGCTACTGTGTACCTCCTCACAAGGTGAGACTTCACAGGACACCTACATAAGGCAGCCAATTCCTGGGGTGGCCTAACTCTCTACCAGCAGAATGGGACCCATCTTAGGTGATAATCCGTCTAAACTCTTGCCTTCAAGATCCTTTGATCTCTCCTCCAGCTAATGACTTTTATTTATGCCTTTGTAAAAACATCAGACTCATTTCCCCAAATTCCCCAACACTGAAGCCTCTCTTATACCAAAGAATACTGGGGGCAAAAAACCCCCCAGGCAACCAAGTAACGACTGTGATCCCTGTGACAGCAAACACCCCCAGGCCCGTACATACCGGATGGCATCTTTGCTGGAGGCTTTAATTATTTCAGAAGCACTGGGAACACCCACACGTTTGAAAGTGATCCCCTACAAGACATCGGATCAGAACAGACAGTATTAGCTTTCTCTCGATCGTGGAAACACCCAGCGGGGCCCGGCTGCAATGGAACGGCCCTGTCTCCACTGCTTCCCACGAGATGTACGACTCTGAACACAGGCAAATGTTAAGCTGGGCCCACCCCAGAAAACAGCTTCCCAGCTCAAAGACAGCCACTTTGTAGCTGTGAACTGAACGCCCAAACGACTGGCAAAATGAACAACAAAGGTTCTTCTGCCTGACTCCAGATCGCAGGAGGACACAAAACAATCAGCATTCACTCACGTAACCACCAGCTTTCAGTGACTCTGCCGGGGGCTGGGCCCTGTAAAACAAGGCAGGGCTCCTGCCCCTGGAGCTGCTGTAATGCCCAGTAGCCCGACGTGAAGACACGTGCACTCACCGCCTGCCGCTCCACCTGCCCTAGCTGGTGCTGCTCCTTCTTCTGATAAAAGCAAATGCAGATCCCGGTCCGTCCAGCTCGACCCGTCCGTCCTGAACGATGAATGTAGGACTCTACATCCTAGGGCAATAAAATGGAGAATTGACATTTGGAAAAAAGGGGAAAATCTCCAAGCAACAGCTCACAGAGAACCAGCGGATGAAGAGAAACTGGCATCTTAATCAGGTGATCCCAACAGCACAAATGAGCAAACTGTTTTACAAAAACCCTTAGTCACTTGAGAGTTTTAATGGCAAAAATAAAAGCAAACATTTCTTTGAGCTATAAATCAAAAGAACTTCTACGTGATTATTTTAAGGCTATGGATTTATTCATTCATAGTGTTAATATCACAGCAAAGTAAACCTCTGGATTTACAAGGATTTGTGCACTGTGCTTTTAAAAAATTAACCAAGGCAGAACCCAATTCTCAAGGGACAAGCACTCACTATTTTGCAAAACTGACTGGTAGAACTAGAAATCAGTCTTAGTGAGACTAGGTTTAGACCAGGATCTTATACCACATATCAAAGAGAAACATGACCAAGACATAAAAAGGTCACATGATGAACAACGAGGAGCATCCTTTCACAAGGAGGGATGGGGGAACATTCTTGAACAAACGAGGAATCATTAGAGGACTACAGAACATAAAAACGGACAATTCTGATTTTATGAAATTGAACAGTTTTTACGAACAAAATCAATGCAGTTAAAATGAGAAGGAAACAATTAACAAGGAAAACCTTTGCAACAATTTTCTCTAACAGAGGTCTCATTTCCATGGCACACAGGGAACAGATTAAAAAAGACCAGGTGTCCCACTGGTAGCACCCCACATGACAATTAGAGTTTTATTTCCCAGAGGGTGACTGGACAAAGAACATGAACAAGTAGTTCTAAAAAGAAAAACTAGCTATCAACAGCAATATGGAAAAAATCTCAACAACCACTAATAACTAGGAAAATTCCAAATTAAAACTGAGTTTTTACTCCACAACTATCAGATTGGCAAAGATTAAAAAAAAAAAAGAAAAAGAACCACTATTGGCAGTGCTGTGGAAGATCAGCAAATTAATGCTGTTTGTGAGGCTGTGAATGGGTCCATCTATTCTGGAAAACAATCTGGAAATGCCCCAGAAAAGTCACCAAACTGTGACTGTGTATACTCCCTTGTCCCAGCCTTACTGCTGCTAGGCATATGCCCCAAAAGAGATCAAAGGAAATAAAGGCCTTATGTATACAAAAAATCTCATGGCAGCAAAGAATGGAAACTAAAAATATGCTCATCATGTGGGGAATGGCTAAACAAATGGAATGTTATTACATGGTAAGCAATGAAGAATGGGGAAGAGCCTGACAAACCTGGAAAAACCAGCATGACTTGATGCACAATGGCGCCACCACTGTTAACACCTCTGATCATCAAAATGACCCCCCTGACTGCAGCGGACCAACAAGGCCAGCTTCTCCCCACCTCCTACGAGAGAGATGGCCTGGAGGTGCAGAATGACACAGGCATGTGGGGACATGACCAATGCACGGATCTGTTTTACTTAACTGTGCTTGCGTGCTACAAGGCAGTCTTTTTTGGGAGGAGGAAGGGGGCAGAACTAGTGAAGAAAGAAAAAAGATCAACCAAGTCTGCAAAATAACGACCAAAGGAAGTTCAGAGGGGAGACACACTAGCCTGGTGACTTCATGATCTACTTATTGCCCATGATTCGTTTCATATTCATTCCTCTATCTCTATGTGCACAGGAATGTTCATGCTTGTTGGCGTTTGTCAAGTTCAGAAAAGCAAAGCCTGAAAGTCTCTACTTTACAATTAGCCAGAGCAGAAAGAAGGAAGAAGGCAGTACAGCCTTTACCTTTGGAGGAGAACTCTGTATAACCAGGTCAACCTCGGGGATGTCCAAACCCCGAGCTGCCACATTGGTCGCCACCAGGACACCAAATTTACCATTCCGGAAACCCTGAAGGGTGATTTCCCTTTGTTTCTGTGGAATATCTCCATGCAACGACTGAGCGTCCTGAGAAAGCAACAAACTCAGTCTGAGTAAGGAACCAAAGGATTTGAATTGCTAAATTGTTTTAAAGAGCTGATTTTTTTACATGGAGCCCCCAAACTAGCTGGGCCCGTCCCAATTTCTGTCTGAAAACTACAAAGAGAAAAATGTGTGTAAATTACCTGGCACATCCATTACCCAATGGCCACTTGTACTCACACACTCAAACAGGACACAATGGCAAGGAGACAAGCAAACCAGCCGAGGTGGAATGGAAAGAGCCTACGGCCTGGAAATCAGGAGAGGAGGATCCACGTTCTGTGGCTCTGATCCTGCTGTAGGCCCCCTCTATCTCTGACACGTGATCCCATGAAGAACAGTGTCTACCCTGAGTTGGGAGTGTCCTCACATTTCCTACATGCGCCATGTTGGCCGCTGGGGATGGAGACAAACCAGCCCAATCCCGGAGGCCCCCAAAGGGAAGCTTCTGTGGTAGCTTATTCCTCCTCAGTCATTTCTTGGGTGGCAATGGAAACTCCTCTCCACTTCCCAGGCTGTGGATCGATTCCTACCTGCTTTATCGATTCGTTCAGGGAGAGCTCCTGAGCCTCCTTCTTTGTCTCACAGAAGATAATGGTTCGTCCATGACTGCCACTGTAGACCTGGATGACATCGCCGATGACTGCTGCCCTCTGAGACCAGTGGCAATTGATGGCCAGATGCTTTGAGAAGAAGAAAAAGGCGATCAGTACCTTGTCTGAGGGGATCCAGAGGCCAGCCACTAGTCACAGGTAGTTGAGTGACTTGACATTCATTAGATTGTGAGCACCAGGGCAGGGGACTGATTGTTGTATGTCACTCTTTGAATCCCCCACATTTAGTGTGGCCCCTGGCATACAGCAGGTGCCTGATAAAATGCGAAGTGAATAACTGGATGACTGGTAGATTGCTACTCTCAGTTCTTGAAGAAGGAAAAATAATCTTTGTGCTGAACCAATATTATAGGACCCAACTAAGGAAATGTGAGGGTAGAAGGTAGCAGGTGGAGCCAGCATTCTTAGGCCTATCTGTGCCCTAGACCCCTGTGGCAGTCTGGTGAAGCCTGCAGACCCCCTTCAGAAAAACCACAAAGGAAACCAATGACTGCAATGCAGTTATCCAATGAAAAAAAAAAACCACGTTTCCAGCCTCTGGGTTAAAACATCTAAGCTTCCCACACACTGCCGCTACCAAAGAAATGGGTGGGTGGGCAACAAGACAAGAGGCAGCCTGAAGCCCCAGGAGCTCCCTGACTGCAGAGGGCAGGCCCCACGAGCCCCTTCTGGTGGCAGGCTAGATGACGAAACATGCAGGGTTGTGGGGAGATGGGCAGCAGGTGGTGTGGCTGACACCTGAAGAGGCCTCCCCTAGGAGGGGGAGTCAGCATCATCTAGATTTAGAGCATCAGGGCAAAACAGGCTGATCTGGGCAAAGCAAAGTGATGATGACATGCTCTGTCCGAGCTTCTGCTGAGTGAGGCCTAGTTTAATTTTCTCTCATTTTTATCTTCTGTCTCTCTCTTTAAACCTTAAGACAGCATTCATATACAGGCTACCTCCACTTACCCCTCACGATACCATGCAAATGCTGATGCTGACTTGGTTCAAATCCTGTCTCTGACCTTCCCTAGCTGGGTGACTACAGGCAACTCACTTGGCTCTGAGCCTCAGTTTCCTCATCTGCAAAGTGGATTATAATGCCTACAGCCCTTAGCTCCTACCTCCCAGGGTCATTGTGGGAACCAGTCGAGATGCTATAAAGCCATTTGTTCATCTGAACTATCAGTCAGGACAATGCAGATGTCCCTAGAACACTTACACCCCTTGCCCCGAAAGATCCCGGGCCCCTCTAAGTCAGTGCTAAATACAGATGGAAGCACCATCATATCCACAACTCCCCTGGAGTTCGCCTGACCATCCTTTCTGGTCTCTTCTCCCCCCATTTGTGACAAGAGCCTGTATCTCCAATCTCCAAGTAAGAATGTACTCCAAGAGGCTACTGATTTCTAGTTGCCTCTAAGAGCCACTAGGTAATGGGCACAATGCATAACCAAGTCAAGGGAGAACCTCGTGTAGCAGAGAAGTCCCAGAAAGCCTTGCAATGAAGATTCTGAAATTTAAATCAAACGCTAAGAACTTCAATGGCCGTTAGGCTCTGGAACACAAACAAATGAAGACCTTTCAAGGTAGGTTTTGTATGCAGCCTTGTCCAAAGTCCGTCCATGTCCTTTCTAATACCAACAAGGCAAGGAGAATCGGTCCCCAACTTCTCACCTCCACGGTCACGGCGGCCTTCTGCGTCTTCTTCCCAATTAGGTCGACTTGCTCATAAGTAGACTTCATGTATTTCTTAGCAACATCGTACACCCAGTGAGGACAAGTCGCAGAGAAAAGCAACGTCTGGGGGTTGTCTTCTGAATCTTAAAAAAACAAAAAAATTCACATTACTCTATGAGACTGGGGAAGGTAAAAATCCCAAGTGATTCCATGGTGAACTTGGACCCTTGCTTTCCTTAAAGGCCTGCGCGAGGCTTCAGCACTAAGTGAGGAGGGCCTGACAGAGAACTCTAACCCAGCACAGTAAGACGGGCAGTAGGCAGGTGACCCCTAACACAGACTACGGGTGCGCTTGTGGCTACTCAGGTTAAGTGAACGAAAGAGAAGATGCCTCAGAAATGATCCAGTCCAATCTTTTCTTTTTTAAATATTAGGGAAATGAGGCTCTGAGAGAGAAGGTAGTCCCCTCCACCCATCCAAAGGGCTCGAAGACCCCACACCAGGACACCCCACAAACAAGGAGCGTGGGCACCCACCATTTATGCTTCAGGTCATATCCCCAAAATAATAAAAAAGCACACCTTTGGGGCTGACAGGAAACCTCATTTTAGGGAAAGGTGGACCACTTTCCTGCCCTGACCCGATTTCTGGGCTACCTTCTAGTACCACTCCAGGCTCTGTCGGACTTTCCCCATTACAACAGTGCCTTCAATCTACTAGCCCTTACCTTTCTTATATGCCACAGTTAAAATATCTTCCACCTGCTCAGCAAAGCCCATGTCCAGCATCTGGTCCACTTCGTCCAGCACAACGTGCTGCACCTTGGTGAGGTCGAGCCGGCCATTCTGCAGATGGTCTTTGATGCGCCCTGGGGTGCCCACCAAGATATCGATTCCTCTCCGAATGAGATCAACTGTCAAGTAACAACCAGGAGGGCATTGTTATTGGGGCCCTTCCCCAGCACCGCAGGACCCCAGGACGCCCACCCCACCTCCACCCGTTTGTACGCACTCTGGCCGTTATAGGGCGTTCCACCATAGAAACAAGCTACTGTCAATTTCTTGGTGATATCGCTGAAGTCTTTGCTGACTTGGATTGACAGTTCCCGTGTCGGGGCCAGGACCAGTATCTAGGAAAGAAAGTTCAGTTCTGAGCCTAATCATGACAACTGTGCCCAATAAACCCTAACCTCAACAGGCCCCAGTGAGCTAAATCACAGCTCTCTCTTCTATGGCAGTAAGGTTCACCCTCTCCCCACCGACAGAGGTCAGGGGGAGTGGGGCTGCCACGATACTGAGGAAGGGAAAAGAAGGGGGAGGAAATAAGCCAATGTGCCAGCTATAGTGTTGAGCACTTTACAAATATTCTCTCATGTGACCATCACATCAACTCTGTTATTATCCCCATTTTACAGATGAGGAGACTGAGGCAAACAGTGATTCAGTGACTTGCACAGGGTCACACAGCTACTAAGTATCTGAGGCTGGTTTGAACTCAGGTCTGCCAGACCCTTGGGTCAGAGCTGAGCCACCAAGCTGCTAAGAAATCAGTGCAGTGACTCAAGGCAAGAATTGTGGGATGTCAGGCCCCTGCTGGAGCCCTTGGTGTGACTTCCTGCCCATTGGCAGCTCTCCTACCCCCTCCTCTGGTCCCTCCAGCCATGCTCTTTTTCTCCGTCTCTGCCAGCCCCACTTGTCAATGTGGCCCCAGGTCCTTGAAGCAAACAAGCAGCTACACCTCCAGGTGTGAGGTGCCAGGCAGTCATATGGAGGCTCAGGCTCCCTCCCCAAAGAGCAGTGACCGGCTTATGCCTGAGGACCTTGCGGGGGTCGTCCTCCTTCAAAATCTTCACGATCTTTTTTTTTTTTTTTTTTTAATGTGAGGCAATTGGGGCTAAGTGATTTGCCCAGAGTAACACAGCTAGTGAGTGTTACGTGTCTGAGGCCAGATTTGAACTCAGGTCCTCCTGACTCCAGGGCCAGTGCTCTATCCACCGTTCATCTGTTTTTTGAGCATTCACTGCAAAGAAGAGGGGATTTTCAAGAGGGTTCCCATTAGCAACAACTGAAAACTGCCCAGGACAAGGGTGTGGCCAGGAAGCAAGCTTCTTCAGGCGGCTGCACTTCATTTACCTTTGGTGCACGGCCTCTTCCTCGAGACTGAGAGTCTCCCTGAAGTTTTTCAATTAAGGGGATGGCAAAGGAGAACGTCTTTCCCGTCCCCGTCCGGGCTTGGGCTATCAAATCCTTCCCACTAGATACATGATGAAATGTCTTCGCTTGTATAGGAAACAGGTAGGTCACCCCACGGGCTGGGAAAAGAATCCAATTCATTTTAAAATGACAATGCAATGCAACAGAGCAGCCTACCAGGACCTGCACCTTAAGGTCATCCTTCAGCACACCACCTATACTTCTGGTCAATGACAATCATGCCAGTCTCTCTTTCAAAATCATTACAAGCTTAATATTAAAACCCCCAACAAGGAAACCTGCTTTCTAACAACAGCTGGTGGACTCAGGACAGTTGGGCAGGTATGAATGAGGGACAATCCGCACCACTGGAGATATCCAAACCAATGAGATGAAGCCTTGTTCGAGAGCTGCACGTGCCCCAACTCTGCAGACCCTCCCTCACTCCCTCTGGTTCCCCGTAGGATCCTGCTGGCCTGAGATATTCTCATGGCCTTTTCCTCTTTCATGTCCAGAGTGAGTGTGAACTCTGCTCCGGGTGGGGGGGTGGGGCCCTTCCAGGGTTTCTGGGGAATTTTTCCTTTGTAATAAAATGACATGCACAAGGTAGAATTCCCGAAGCAAACGATGAGGCTATTTCTTCCTCTACCACCCCCGCCCCAGGTTTCCTGCTCCCTTTTATGTCCGATCTCCCTTTCAGACTTCTGCTCCTGAGAAAAGAAACTGTGTCTGCATGGATTTGTCTATCCAGGGCTTAGCACAGGGCCTGGCACACAGAGGCTGGCTGACTTAACTTGGTAACTTTTATTGCCTGTTGCTAGACTGCTCTCCAAAGACCTTTGATAATGTTGCAATTCTACCAGCAACAAATGCATTAACTTGTTTCTCCCACTCCCCAGGTCTGTGGGTGCAGGAGGGACTTCACAGCTGTTTTAGGAGGACCCCAGATTTAGGGCTGCAAGGCCCCTCAGAAGTCACCTAGTCCAAGCTCTCATCTTACTGACGAGGAGAACTAAGGCCTGGGGAGGGTAAGGGAATTGGCCACGGTAACTTATGCCTCCAGTAGATCTGACATTTTCTACTGCCTGAGGACTGTTGAAACAGATTCTCCCAAATAAAAGATACCAAAAAATTCTCACATCCTTTATTAGAATACCTGGAATCTTAAGGGGCCTTACCCTACCCGATTCTTACTACAGCACCTCATCAATGAAGATAATCTCCTTCCCAATAAGATACTAATTTAGTGCTAATAAAATTACCTTTGAGGAGTTGAATAGTCTCTTCAGAGATCGGAAAATTAGAGAAAGCTCCTTCTTTCTGCTCTGCAGATAACTCCTATTAAATTAAAAAGCACTTCAGAAGCAGGAAAAAATGAAACCAATGGCTTCCTATACCAGTAACTTAGTCCCTGCCCAAGAAACAAAGCTGAAAAAGAGAATTTCTTTAAGACAGACTCCATTTAGGCCAGGAGATATACAGACTTTGCTTTACTGTCTAAAGGGGGAAAAATTGTGCATCCTCTTTACAAAAGAAAAACCAGACATTTATAGAGCATGACACACATAATAGAAACAAGCTCTTTGAGGACAAGGACTGTTTTGTCTCCATACCCCCAGGGCCTGGCACATGGCAAATACCTGTGGATTAATTTAATACAATGGATATACTAAGACCCCCAAAACATTATTATTAAAGGACAGTCCTACTCAAATGAGAACCATTATGGACTATTCAAAACCAACCATTTGCAGAAATACACTTCAAAGATTGTTATTTAGCAAACTGTAAGTCAATTTACCTTTAACATGGGCAGAATAGACAAAAAAAAAAAAGGAAAGAACTCACTAGAAAATTTATATGAGCTATTTGGACTTTGAAAATCGCCCATAAAGATGTTTTTAAAAAAGCAATTCAGAACCGGTTTCCAAGAGACAAGTCTTGATATTTTTGCTTACCTCAAGGCAGAAGTATCAATCAAAGACCCAAGTGAAACAATCTCTGACCTCAGGAAATTTCTATTCTATCTGGGGAGATAGTCACACACACACACACCCCCCCCCACACCAACACAAGATAATCTGGGGGAAGACCCAGGAGGGGTCAGCAAAACTGGAGCTTGAGCTCAGTGGTTAAAGAGCTCAGGGGTCCCTCATGGCAGAGGTTGGGGCGGGGGGGGGGGCCTGCAGGCATGGGGAGGCAACTTGCACCAAAACACTTAGAAAGCAAGATGCATGTCGTAGACGAGGGACCCTGGCAGGCCAGTCTGACTAGACTGAGGACAGAAAGCAGAATAATGTGTAGCTCAACAAGTCCATGGGAAGACAGCTGGGAATCACCATCAGAGGAGTCTGAATTTGATCCCAGAAGCAATAACCAGCCCCTGGAGTGTTGGAGTGACTCGATCATACAATGCCAAATTTGCACCAACTCAAATAACTAGCAATTGAAGCTGTTCCAAAATCACTTTCTCAAAAACCAATGTTTGGCATCCTTCTACTTTCCAGATGTTTCCTCTAAAGGTAATGCCTCTGCAGTCAGATTCACCAAGGCATAAAAAGATTCAAGGACCTGACCAAAATAGAAGTATAGGATAGTCACCTAAAGACCTAATCAAATCTTAACAACTGACTGCAGCACCATCTAGGGTTCTTCCATAACCTGTTTTGTGACATGGCCCCACTGGACAGCTGGTGAAGCCAATGGACTTCTCCACAAAATGTTCTCTAAGTAACTGAAGGAAAAAGCCAACTTCAGTTAAAGGTTAACGAAAACAAAGATGTTGTATTTTTCTCCACGCAACTTCACAGAGTCAAGATTAAGAACCCCACCTCTAGGACAATGAAGGCTGCACTAGGGTACAAGATTTGGGGGAGAGGAGGGAACATGAATCAGAAATTCAGGGATTAATTCTTTACATTTAAATTCTATTCCTAGAAAATGCCTGAAATGTAGCAAGTCCACAGAATAGCCAGTCTAGACGTACCTCAGTGTCTTCAGATTTTGAATCTTTCTCATTTTCCTTCTTTTCACCTTTTTTGGGTTTCTCCAATTCTTCTTCATCATCATCATCATCATCATCTTCTTCTTCTTCATCATCTTCTCCTTTAAACTGTTTTGTCAGTCCAGTTTGCAAATGGGATTTTAATCCCTTAGAACTAAGAGCATGGCTTTCTACTCTTTTATGAAGATCATTTTCCTAAATGAATACATATTAAGCATATAAATTAATTCAATCTTAAAGCAGAGACCAAAAATTCGTAACTAAGCCACAAAAACATCTACTCATCCCCTTCTCTTACAGCTGCTGTTCTCCCCAAGAAGAGCTCAGGCCAAGGTGCCAGGCTACACCAATAGGGGAGCAGGGCAAAGTGCGGAGACCCCCAGGCCTGGGCTGGCCCTGACTCTCAGCTCTGTCACTGCACCTAGAAGGGCTTTCCTGCTCACAAAGTCCACTTGCTGTAACTGTCTTCCCCCTAAACTTATGGCTGAGGGCATACCACCTATGACAGCCCTGCTGTTCCTTCCATGTTAAGAGCTATCAAATCCAGCAAGAAATTTTTTCTCTTCCATTTAAAACCACTCCACCTTAAGAGACTTGTGGCTTTGAGACAACAAAACCCAGCACACTCACAGAGAGATGGTGGGATTAGTTCACATTTGGAACAGCTCCCTTCCACTTACAATTAACAACCTAGGGTTGTCAAGGGGGCAGAGAGGGAGGGCAGGAAGAGCTTCATCTTAGGTTGCAGTAGCATATACTATAATATCCAGAATAAGGGGTCTTGGGCTCCATGGCCTCTCCTCCGTTCAGACCACATCTGGAGTAAAAATCTATTAACCAGAACCAACAATTAAAAAATCAAACAAACCAACAACCCACCACTCTCCTGCCTGGTGAAAATGCCTCCTTACCTGCTCAGCCTCGCTGTCACTTTCCTCACTGGATGACTCCTCAGAATCAGAATCAGACGCATGCTTGGAGTGGGGCAGTCCATTAGTCACAGATGCCCTCTGTGACTTTGGCCTTTCCTCTCCTGTGTCTCCATTTACTTCTCCCTCCTTCTTCTTGGCCTTCTTCGGTTTCTCAGAAAGCTCTTCTTTCTCTTTGCTCTTTTTTGCCTTAGAGCAGATGTCATTGCTAGAGGCATCCTCCTTCTCTTTCAGCCTCCTGGGCTCCTCCCCAGACCCCTCCTTGCTCTTTTTGGCCTTTTTGGATTTAGGGGAAGAGTCTTCCTCATCTTCTGGGGGCTGTTCTTTCTTCTTGGCCTTTTTGGGCTTTGGAGAAATGACTTCTTCTGGAAGCTCCTCCCTTTTTACCTTCTTGGGCTTAGGGGAATCAAGTTCCTCAGTCTCTACCTTGCCCTTTTTTTCTGGCTTCTCATTTTTTGATTTCTCTTTTTTATCTTTCTGCAAAATTCAAAGATAAATACACAAAAGAGACACACATTAAGCCCAAAACCTACTTATTTTCTTAACTAACAAATGTCTCCTTTATTCACAACTACTAAACAAAGCAAAGAAAATTAATGGCACCTGGCCATCTAGTTAGAATTCTAGGTTTAGAACTGGAAAAGATGCTAGATCTGGATCCATCTCAGCTCTCAAATTTTACAAATGAGCAAATCAAAGATGGGAGAAGTTAAGTCACTTCCCCAAGGTCACAGAATTTAAAGTCATGCACCCAGTACCCAACTCCAAGTTCAGGGACATCCCCAATGAACTATGCTGCCCTCCCCCTCCTTGAATAATTCTTTTTTGCTCTTTGATCATTTCAGTGGTCTGACCCTCTGTGACTCCATTTGGGGTTCTCTTGGCAGAGACGCTGGAGTAGTTTGGCATTTCCTTCTCCAGCTTATTTTACAGATGAGGAAACTGAGGCAAACACGGTCAAATGACTTACCTAGGGTCACACAGCTAATAAGTGTCTGAGGCCAGATTTGAACTTAGGTCTTCCTGACTCCTGGTCTAACTACTCTATCCACTACACCATCTAGTTGCCCAGCCTTTCTCCAGCTACTCTTTTGAGGGGTATTTCACTACTCTTTACCACCCTCAATCCAGGAGAGTGCTGGGAAATGAAATTACATCCATCAATCCCATTCTTCTACCATTTTGTTGCAATGGAGATTGTATTTCAATCAATAGTGGAAGTAAATCAAGTTTGTCCCAGAGATCTGTTTAAGCTAACAGGCGATAATGCCCCAGAGGACAGGGAACTTGGCTGCTCAAAGACACACCACAAATGCTGCGTTTGGTAGGAAGAAAAGTCACTGACACTGGTAACTGATCTTGACAGATTGTTTCAGTTGTGACAATTTGATGCCACAACATTGTTTTATACCAAAAAAACGGTATATAATATCTACCCCCTCACCTACTTTACCTGGATACCTGAGGGATAAACCAGGTGATGTACAGAAAAATCCTCTGTACTACTGACTAGAGCAAAACCACAGAATTCCAAGTTATAAGTAGTAATCAAACTTTCCTAATCCTTTCCAATTCATAATCTATGTAGAAAAATAGATCAAACACTGGTCCTAAATTTCTAACAGTCTTATTGTAGATATGTATCTTCCTGCAACATACTCTATCTCCAGCTCATGCTATTATTGGTCACTGTTCTCGGAATGCCAATAGGCCAAGGTGCCCTAATCACATGTAACTAGAAACATTATTTTAAAGGTACATTATTTCACAAAAGTTAAAATTTTACAGTAAGAAATGGACAATTATTTATGAAATAATCCTGATCTTGTACCATTTATCTGCAGGCCAAAGGAGTCATGCATTGTTTTAAATGGGTATAACACAATGTGCTTACTTAACTCACCTTCTAAGGAAAATCCAGTTGTTCCTAAACAAAGGTCCCAGCTTCCCTTTATCTGTGGTCTTCCCCATTACAATTAAAATCTTTGAAGTGACCTTTTTATTTTCCCATATTTGTATCCCCAGGACATAGTACAATGCCTGGAGCATAAGAAGCGATTGATAAGTGCTCAGTCTTGATAATTAGGCCTATTTTTGCTTTTTCTTTGTATCCCCAGATGCTAGTAAAGTTATTAAGCACACAGCAAGTGACTAATAAGCGCTCTACCAGTCAGTCTTTTCCCCTTTGCCCGACACAGATAAATCCTTAATAGATGCTCCCGGGCTGCTAGGCTCATGCTCGCTCTGTGGGGCAGCAGAGGGGAGCCCGTCTCCCCCCAGCCCCTCCCCAGGCCCCAGGACGGCCTCCCATTGGGCAGCGGCTACAAGCCGGCACGATGACGTGGGACACCCCCCGGGCAGCCGGAGCACGTGCAGGCACATACAGGGCGCCGGTGCGAATCGCACTAGGGGGATTCGGGGTGGGGGTGACGGGTCCAGACCCAGCCAGGCTGGCCTGGGGTGGGGTGAAGGGGGGGGTGTTAACAGCAACAGAGATAACAGCCGGCACCTGCTGGGCGCCTTACACACCTTCGCTCGCGGGAGCCTCACTCTCCCCACAACCCCCAGCACCCCCCAGCCCCCCCAGATGCGAGTGACCGCTTAGGCACAGCTTCCTCCATTGGAACACGGCCCCCAGGTCCACCGGTGACCCCGTGATCGGGGACCTTGGACCCCTTCGCCTCCCTCGGTGTTCTCCCGTGTAAAATGCAGTTGGGGGCGGGTGCCGGAGATCCCGTCTAGCTAGGGGTTTGGGTGGCTCTGGGTAAACTGAGGCTCAGAGGCGTCAGGAGCCTCTGAGCGCCGGGCCCGGCCGGAGTAGCACGTGGAGCCGGCGCCGGGAGGCCCCCCAATACCTCCCGCCCCCCGCCCTAGCCCGAACGCCCTTCCCCCTCGCCCGCACCTTTTGTTTGTGCTTCCGCGTCTGCTCCGTCGCCTCCATGGGCGCCTCCGACTCGACTTCGGCCTCTGACAGAAGCTTACCGGGCATAATCCTCTAGCCGCGAGCTCACTCCGCAACCGACAGCCGCGTGCAAAGGGAACAGAGAGCCGACAACGTCACTTCCGCACGGGCCGGAAGCAGGAAGCGGGCGTGCACTCCCGGCGATCACGTAAGCCTCTGAACCTCCGGAAGTGCTGGGAGAAACCAAAGTGCCAGAGGAGGAGGAGGAGGAGGAGGTCAGAGAGGCGCTCGCGCATGCGCTCTGGGGGCTGTCAAGTGCCTTCTCCAGTCCGAATCTTCCTTCCATCCGAGTACGGGGCGCGCTCAACGTTGGCTACTGCAGGGACCCTCGGCACCCTCGACCCTCCGGTCTTCCTGGAGGCTAGTAGGCGCCTAATAAATGTCGTATGACTTGAAAACACGGTGTAAAGCGTAGACGTATTAAATAAAGGTGAGCCGTGTAGGCTCCGCCCAGGGCCGGAGCTGACAGCGGGGGGCGGGGCGGGGCGAGCCGGGGAGGGGGCGGGGCGGGGGAAGCCGGGGAGGGGACGGGGCCGGGCGAGCCGGGGAGGGGGCGGGGCCGGGAGCCTGGGCCACCCTGGGACTCTCCCTGACATCATGGGCTGCCCAGACTTCGGAGACCATCAGCGGCAGCGCGTTCTGGGGGGAAAGCCCTTAGAGGTCTGGGTTAGGACCCTGCCCCCCGCCCCTCCCCCCCGTACCTGTACCTGATGACCAGGTTAACCTCCTGAGCTTTCTGGCCCAGGCGGGGATGACGAGGCTGAAGAGGAACGCTTTGAATGTCTTGACGCCGGGTATAAACGTGCGCTCCGGGGCTGCTGCGACCCTCCGACGGCCCCTCTGCCGCCCTCCTTTCTGTCTGACACAAGGACAAAATCATCTCCTAAATCACAGGGTGGATGAGGTCATTTCACCACTCGAAAACCTTAGTGACTTCCTGTTACTGTTGTTTAGTCGGTCAGACTCTGCCAGACCCCATTTGGGGTTTTCTTGGCAAAGGTACTGGAGTGGTTTGCCACTTCCTTTTCCAGCTCATTTTACAGATTAGGAAACTGAGGCAAACGGATATGTGACTTGGCCAGGGTCACACAGCTTACTTAGTAAGCCAGATTTGAACTCAGGAAGATGAATCTTCCTGACTCCAGGCCCAGAACTCTATCCCTGGATCACCTTAGCTGCCCAAGTCCACTCCTATTACCTCTAGGATAAATTACAAACTCCTTACCTGACATTTCAGGCCTTCATTTTGATGGGAGGCAGTATGATCCAGTAGGAAGACCACTGGTTTGAAAGTCAGAGGACCTAGGTTCAAATCATGGCCCTACCACTTAGTAACCATCACCCAATCTGAGTCTCAGTTTCCTCAAGTGGATTGCAGTAGATGACTTTGAAAGTCCCTTCTGTCTTACTCTCTGATGCTGTAATCTAGCTTCGACCTGATGTTCCAGCTTTATGGTACAACCGAAGTGGGCACCATCTATTGTACTCTATCCCCACCTCCACCTTTGAGAGGCTTTATCTTCTTGCAAGTATCAGTAAAAGTTGAACCACTGTTCCTCAAAAAACAGTTGTTAGCTCTGTCTCCCTTCTGGAGTGTTCCAGATCTCCCCGTTCTCCTTTACTTCTTATCCAAAATAGCCTTTCCCCCGGTGGAGGTAAACTCCTGGATTACAACTTTGTATTATTCTCATAGCCCCAGGGTGCTAACTTTAAGAGTAGGCACTTACACGGTTGTTGAATAAAACAGATTAGACCATCTCTAAACTCCCTTCCTGCTCTAACTTTAGGGATTGATCTATTCCACATCTTCTTTGTGTCTGGTACCCCTATGACAATCTGGTAAAGTCAGGAAGGAAGGGCCCACCGTTCTTATCAAGCAATCAGTCAATTTTTATTAAGTGCCCACTATGTGCTTGTGCTAAATGCTGGGGATACAAAAAGAGGCAAAAGACAGTCCCTGCCATCGAGGAGCTTAAAATTTGATAGGGGGAGACAAGCAAACAAATATATACAAATTGAGCTATATACAGGACAGACAGGATCCAAGAGACGGAAGGCACTGGAATTAAGAGAGGTTGGGGATGGCTTTCTGTGGAAGATGGGATTTTAGTTGAGACTTAAAGGAAGCCACAGAGGTCAGCAGTCAGAGTGGAGGAGTGAGAGCATTCTAAGCATGGGGGACAGGCAAAGAAAATGCCAGGAACCTAGAGATGAGTCTGTTATTCCTGGAACAGACAGGAGGTCAGTGTCCCTGGACCCAAGGATACATGTCAGCCAAGAATATAATAATACGTGTCTGGAAAAATAAGAGGGGGCTAGATCATGAAGGGCTTTGAATGCCAACAATAACATTTTGCATTTGCTCCTGGAGGTGATAGGAAGCCACTGGGGTTTACTGAGTAGCGGGTGTGCTTTTAGGAAAATTACTTTGGTGACTGACTAGAAGATGTGTTGGAGTGGGGAGAGACTTGAGTCAGGAAGACGCACCCATAAGCTATTTGCAGTAGTGCAGGTGTGAAGTGACGAAAGGTGGCAGTTAGAAGAGAGAAAGGGACAGATTCAAGAGATGTTGCAAAGGCAAAATAGGCCTTGCTATAATATCTTGGATGTGGGGGATGAGAGATAGTGAAGAATCCTGGATGGCTCCTATGTTGTGAACCTGAGGAACTGGGAGGATGGTGTTGTCCTTTATACTAACAGGGAAGGTAGGAGGGGCAAGGTTTTAGGGGAGAAAAGATTAAGTTTTGGTACTGATGTCTCATAATAGTCTTAAATAATTGAAGGAAATGCTAAATTTCAGTTAGAGGCTAGTGAAAAGAAAGAGGTAATATTTTTCTCATCCAAGTTCATGGACCTTTTGGGAGATGAACCCCCAGTTAAGACCTCCTGGTATACTCTAAGTCATGTAACCATTCAGAGTCTATTTCTCCTGTGCAAAAGTAAGATATGTGTAGTACCTACCCTGCACTACAAAAACGAACTGTTATGTCTATGTAAATGACTCCCCAAAATCTGTGTCTAGTTGTGATTTCTTCTGAAGTCTAACTGAATGCTTCCTCAATTAGAACTGGAAAAGAAGTTCTTTGGAGGTCATGTGGTAGAACCTAGCCTCTTGCTGTAGATGAGGTGACACAATTTACCTCAGCCACTCACTAAGAAAATGTGATTCTGGATGAGTCACTAGCCTCTCAAAGTAGGTTTCTTTTCAAAATTGGTGAAGTAACTTTGACTGCTCTTCTCACAAGGTTGAAGTGAAGAAAGTGAGTTGCTGATCCTTAAAGCACTATATAAGCGAGAGCTATTAGTGCTTACCCTGAGAATCTGTCCCTTCCCTCCTCTCCCCACACTCGATTTGACTCGTGGAAATTCCTTCCATCTTTCAGAGCCCAGATCAGGTGCTGCCATCTCCCCAGCCTTCAAATACTTTTTAGTATTTTGCCCTTACTCTCATACCTTTATGACATTCTTGTTCAAGGGTAACTGGCTATTTGCCCTTAGACGAGTAATTAATTTCCCTCTTGAGCGAGTTTTCACATCTATGAATTGAAGACTAGAAAATTACAGCTCAGATATTCCACAATTCTAATTCATGGCACAGGTCATTGTGTCCCTGTCCTTTCCCTTACTGAGCTCTAAGGTCCTTAGAAGTGTCTTCCGTCTAATCTCTTCATTTGTTCCCTTGACTCGATCACAATGCCCTGCACAGGGTACAGCAGGCGCTGAAGGAACAATGGCTAAACAGGCCTTCACAGTTCACCTGTGGCACCTGCAGGGCAAAAAAATGATGTGCACTGTATTTATGTGAAGGCCACCTTGTTCTGGATGGGACATGTTCTTCTGTGGCATCTTTCCATTAATGATAGTGAATCTTATCAAACAATCCATGGAAGACTATGGAGTGAGACTCAACTGTACTATGATCCTGGAGTTTTGCCAACATACCAGTTTCAAACAGAAAAGTTCAAAGTAACACATCAAATACCCTAGGAGCCTAACAGCCCAGGAGAGAGACGAATGCATTAAAAGGAAGTAGGCTGGTCATTTTACAAGAGAGAGGGATAGCTGGGCAATGCAGGGTTGGCGTCCTTCACCATTCAGGATGTGGACAACTCACACCAGATGAGAAGGAACAGTGCTAACTCTCTGATTTCCACCTGCAGCTCTCCTTGGTTGGAACTCTACTGAACATGAGGCCCCTACGCCGGAGACCACCTGGCGTCACCCACCCCTACCAGCTTCCTTTTATGTTGTCTTCCATTTGATTGTAAACTCATTGAGGACAGGTACTGCAGTTAGGTGGTGCAGTAGATACAACACCAGGCTTAGAATCAGTAAGACCTGAGTTCAAATATGACCTCAGACACCGAGTGACCCTGGACAATTCACTTAACCTGTTTCCTCATCTATAAAATAGGGATAATATAGCACCTAACTCAAAGAATTGTTTTGAGAATCAAATGATAATAATTGCAACGTGTCTGACATACAGTTTATTGAATTGCATGGATGAGTTGTCATCTGCCCTCCTGGAAGAAATGCCTGTTAGTGACAGCACAGATATACCGAAAGCCCTGGTCCCTTTATGGCTAGAACCATATGCTAAAACGTTTTTTTCCCTTACCACTCACTACCCCTCTCCATTATTACAGAGAGGTCAGTTACACGGCCTCTTCCGATGCCTATTTTCTCTCCCAAATGTACAAAGCATTTGTCACCTTCACAAAACCTTGGAAAGAATCAATGGAACATGAGCGTGGCCTTTGTACAAATTCGGGTAACATTTCCTCAAATGCCCTTTCAGGGCCTCAGCACCCAAAGGTGGTCCTGGGTTCTTGATGGCTACGCCAGTGAAGCCCAAGCTCTCACAGGGCCTACCAACTCAAACAGGTGAGGGATGTGAGCAGGCCTGGCAGCCGACTCAATGTTTACTGCCTGACAACCTGAACTGGACAGAGAAATGTCTACCACCTGAGGCCTGGCTGGTTTTTAGCTACAGAAACTCAAAGGGAGATTCTCCCTAGCAATTCCAGGTGTCCAAAAGATGGCAGGCTGTCCATCTAAGGGGGTGGGCTGGTTCTCTGTCCCTGGGTT